TTTTGGCTGGAATTTCAGACAAAATGGTCAAAGTGGATATTTTGACCCCAAATTATGTGAATATGCTCGCTATAATTTTCTCCGATTTTCTCCGAAATTTCAGTGAGATTGGTTCATTCTCCGCGGTTTTGCGAAATTTTCTCCATTTCTCCGAATTTTTCTACATTTTGGTGAATAACCCAAATGCTTTTTGTTAAATGTGTTTATTCTGACATTTTCGCAGTGATTCAATTAAAAAAAAACTAATTATGTAAATTTTTTTCGAGTAGTATAGCTCAATTTTATTTATATTTAACCTATTCTCCGTTATAAGTAGTATTGAGCAAACGATCTGTGTATTATTCCTTCATATTGCGTCCTTCTGTTCAAAACAAGCGACTAGTAATAACTCAGCTTCCGATTGTTTGAGGTACCAAATAATAGCAGTAGCTAACAAAAACACAAAAACTTTCAATGCTAGAGAGAGCGACAGTTTCATTGTTCGAGTGAAAGCTATTGGTTTCGACTGCAGAAAGCCGACAAACCAACCGTCCATTTTATCCATTCCGTCCGTCTACACAATACGAATCCGACTATGCGGAGGAGGAGTCTATGTGTTTTCCCGTGTTCTCTGATGTCTCTCAACTTCTCTTCCCTCTCACTGACGGCCCGTACAGCTGCATCAAATACTCTCAAACATCGGCGCAGGGGCCCGCTAAAGAGAAATAAGAGGAAGTGGTTGGGCACGGGGAGACGCAGCAGAAGCGGCCGGTACCGTAATCGCCGAAACCTGCGAATCACCGATTTGTCCGCTGTATATAAAGGGTGGAAGAACGCGAAGGCCTGCGTGTGATCGGCCAGCGCCCTTCTGCTCGTCTCTTCCGTTTTTGTCTACAATCTCTTTTTCTTTCCCAATATTTCTCCCCGAATTTCTCTTGCCTCCTCCCCAGCAAACACACTCTCCTCTTTCCCAAATGATTCCCCCTGCGCTCCTAGACCTAGCCAGTGTGTGCGCCAGTCGTCATCAAAACGACGCGAAATGAAATAAACTGCGTTATCACCGGCGAATGACATAACTAAAATGATAAAAATGATAGCGAAATAGATGGAGAGAGCGAGAGAAAGCAGAGAGAACTGATTGGAAAAGACGAGATGATGTGCACGCCTTCTTTTTGTTGGACTGTTATCAAAAGTGAACTAATGATATGATCTGTATTATGTGTGATGGATGAATCCCGAGAAACGTGGATGGACAGAAAAGATACTGTGTATATACAGAAAAAAGAACACATAAAAAGAGAGAGATAGAATCTGATTTAGCTACTAGAATTGCGAAATAAAGAATCGAATAGACTCGGAATCTAATTATCAGGGAGCCGACCAATCAGTGAGAAGTCACATAACTGGTGCCTATTGTCATAGAAAGAGCCCTCTAGATTTAATGTCCTGAGTTCCGATGTCCTTGCAAAAATTCCCATGAATCGCCCTTTTTTCTTCACGAATCTCTCTCATTTTTTTTCTTGAAATCATCTCAAGTTCTTGTTACACTTCCAGCCAACGCTTCATCACCAAATGACGTCTTCGGAATAGACCTTTCCGATCTTCTTCTTCTTCTCGAAAAAAGAACCCGTCGTTCGTTCTTCTTTCTCTGCTAGTCTTCTTTCCAACGACCTTTCTTTCGGTGGTCTTCGGAATACAAAAAGAAAAGACACTGACACTTTTCGGAAGAAATTCAGAAATAGTGAGATTTGGAAAAGAGACTAGCGAGAGAGAAGAGACGATGGACCAGCACAGAGGCAACGATGTGGGCTTCGCGGTGCCGATGTTGCCCCTCAATTATACAGCGGCTGCAAATCGTTAGTTTAGAACTGTTCTGAATGCAACACTTGGGTTAGAGAGGATCCGGAACAGTTTTCGTCATTCGGGTAGAGACTGAAAAATAAATGGCTAATATGGGATAAGCACCTGTTACGCAATTATGAGAAACTTGTGAAAAACAGGAGTTCTTGGAATGAAAATATCATGACAGATATAATTCTGATACGTGAAGTTGGGTGTGTGGCAGAGAAACGCCGGTGGCCGTGACCGAAGATCTCAAAACGAAAACTACAGTAACCCAAACATATTCTTCTTTTCCTCGATTTTTCTGTTTTTCCACCAGAAGTTCAGGAAGTTAAAAAGGAAGAAAATGAAGAAAAACATGAAAATATGCATATTTTTAGGTTACGGTAGTTGTCGCTGTGGGACCTTCGGCCACGGCCATCCCTGTTTCTCTTCCACAGCAACTTATCGTACCAGAGTAATATCATTAGCACCCACACTAAACCTTAAGAAAATGGACTTTGTTTATATCTAGGAGCTTTTTTTTGTTTATCGAGCCATGCTCTCAACTTTCACTCAAAATTTTTCAACTAAATCATATTGAGCAATAGTTCTCGTTTTTTGGTTCAAGACGCCACCTGTTGAGTTCATTTGAGTGGGTTCTGAGAGAGAAGGGAGAGATAATAAGATGAACTTTTAAAATCGCCACTCTCTCTATCAATTCAAAGTTTTAACTTTTCCAGAAAGAATGGCATCCACGTCATCTGCCGCTGCAGCATCATCATCTGCAGGCCCTAGCCAACAACAGCCGGCAACAGGAGCGGCGGTCATCCGAAGACGTCGATTCAGCACAGCGAAAATCCAACCGACAAGAGTGAAAAAAGTGATGCAAAGTGATGAAGAAATCGGTCGAATGGTTCAATCGGTGCCTGTGAGCATTGGAAGAGCAATGGAGCACTTTGCTGAGAAATTCCTTCTAGCTGCGGCTGATGCCACACAATACACTTCTTCGAAGACGTTGAGCCCACAACACATGAAACAAGCCGTTCACAACGTCCCACACTTTCGATTCCTTGAATCTTTGTTTAAGGATGTATCCCTTCCTCAAATCACCGCTGAAGTGAACTCGGCCCGTTCCGCCATGACATTAAGAGAGCAACAGATGTATCAGGAACAGCAGAACAATGATTTGGCTAATGCAATTCTCGCCAATGCTCAAATGCAAATGATGCAAATGGATCAAGATGGTGTTCCGTCGCCGTTAGAAATGCCATCTCCAACAGCTCTAATGCCTCTCTACCTCCAAGGGATTCCACCTGCCAACTATCCTGTTGTTCAGGAGCTTGCTGCTACAGTACCCCTCTCACCGAGCACGCCGACATCTCAACTTGTAAATGGAATGATGGGAATGGGAATGTTCAAAAGCGCAAAGAAGGCGTCAGAAGCTGATGGTCAACGACTTACTGGAATAAAAAGAGGATCAACTGACGGTGGTCCAGATGAGGATCGGCCGAAGCGAGGACGACCAAAGAAGTTGAAGCCAGAAAAGTGTATTGATGATGACCTCTATGAGGAGGCTTCTAGAAATATTGCCAAGGTAAATAATTTCACAAAAAAATGCATGTGCAGCTAATTAGCTATATTCTTGCAGGAAGACAAGGATCGTGAGCTGATGCCTCCTCCAGCACTCCCAATTGGCCGTCCATGATGATCCTCATGGCATGATCTGCTCCTTAAAATTTAAGGCTTAAATGCTCTCCCACATCTACAAATATCAGCTTTGTGTCTCATTCTCTTTATTGGTCTCCACTGCATAATCTGATCTATACCTTAATGAATCCCCCTTTTACCATTTTGTCCCAAATGCTGGAAAAGAATCAAAACCCTGAACCATTGATCTTTTCCCCCAGTTGCGCTCCTGTTCTATTCATTTTTCAAACAACAAAACCTAATCATTTTTCTTTTGTTTTTTTTTGTCATTTTTCCCACCAATACAACTATAATTCAGGAAACTCCTTGTTCTTTTTTGTGTCTCCATCCACTATTCTTTCCGAACGTTCTCTGTCATATGTTTAGCTCATTTCGCTCTTTGTGTCGCTTCTTGTTCTTCTATATAATTTAAATAATATTTCAAGTTAAATCTATTTTCAATGACTTCTCAAGAAACCATTCAACCGAAAAAAAAACCTTCAAGGCCGGAAATTCAGATTTTCACACTTTATAACTTGCTAAAGTCGAAAAGAAACTCCATTTCTCAAAAATGGATATTAGCGACGATGAGGATCTTTTGGCAATCGAAGAAGAAGAGGAAGATGAGAGCCAAAAAGAAGAAGTTGACTCTGTAATTGTTGGTATGTTTTCTTTAGTTGAGTTAGCAAAAAATAGGAATTTCGAATTCAGAAGACATCCGACGTCGACTTTTTGATGTTTTTAAGATGTTCGATGAGGACTGTGATGGATTGATTGAGGTAGGAAGTTTCTTCTGGCTTCATCATCACTCACAGAAAATTTAATATTTTTAAAGATTATCTTTGGCTTATTATCCTCGTCCGGCGGCAATGCGCATTATGGTCGAAAATACAACTTAAATCGTCACCTCATCAGCGAAAAAAACCAAATATTTTTTGAATAAGTGCATACGACTTTGATACCGTACCTCAAAGTTAATTTTTTGCATATTTTACTTAATTTTTCGTTCGTTTTCGACCTTATAAAATTGGAAAACAGTCAAAAATGAGACAAGAAAACTAATTGTGAGGTACGGTATTGAAGACGCATGAATTCATTCAAAAATTTACCTCGCTTTTTCGTTTCAGGGCCGGCTATGCGCCTTTAAATATATTTTCGGCCACAAGGTTCATCTGCGCCGGGCAAAAATAATAGAAGAAAAACGCCGGTGGCCGTGGCCGAAGGTCCCACAACGAGAACTACAGTAACCTAAAAGTATTTTTAGTTTCCAGATTTATCATCTCGATTTTCGCTAATTTTCCGGCAATTTTAAGATTCGGAAAACAGTTATTTTCCGACTTTTTTGTGGAAAAAGAACAGAAAACACGACAAAAAGCGTGAAAAACGAGAAAGTTAATCCCGATAATAAAAATGTTTTTTTGGTTACGGTAGTTGTCGTTGTAGAAATAATAATTATGAGTTCCTGGATGCGGTAATTGGTAGTTAGCATAGGTTTTACTAAACAAAAAAGAATTTTTGATTTCATTCTTTAGATTTCAGTATTTTGCTGACCCATTTTAAATTTCCAGACAGAGGAAATTGGACATGTGCTTCGCTGTTTTGGTTTGAACCCGAGTCAAACTGAACTCCAGCTGGTCAGTGAGCAAACAGCAAAGAAGAATGGGCGTGTCTCATTTGAAGATCTTCTGCAACGTGTCGTTTCTGCGATTCAAAACGAAGAATGGAAGGATGATACTCCGAAACAGATTCATGCAGCATTTCAAGTGATCACTTCTAACAATTATGTTCAGAAAGATACTCTTCTTCAACTTTTGACTTCGATTGGCGAGCCATTGACAGCTCAAGAAGTCAAACAGTTTCTGAATCATGTCAGCATACGTGGCAATGGAGATATCGATTGGGTTGCTTATGTGAAAGACACCTGTGAGATGATTGCATCTAAAGATTGATTTCTGAATGAAGTTATCAAAGTTTCTCACGATACGAATTCCCATACCCAAGTACATGTCATCATATGACACGGATCATATGAATCATAAATTTGGATTTGATGGGTTGAACAACTTTCATCAATTAAAATGAATAATGGATCAAAAGAACTTTAGCTTTTCTGATGAGTTATGAACGAGTTTTTCAGGGCGTCATTTTGTAACAACGTTCGAAGTGCAGGTGAAAATCAAATGTGAAATTTTTGGACAATCGGAGCAGCAAACCTGATTTAAATTTAAAAAAAAAGAGAAAATTTCCTAAAATCTAAATGGACCGAATAAAAAATAATAAAAGATAGTCAAAAAATTCAAATAATTGAAAGGAATCGAGAACTGTGGAACTTGAGAGAAATATTTTTCAATGGAATTAGCCTACCGTATTTCTTCTAATGGAAGGACTTTGTGCTCTGTGCTCTTTGTGCTCGATTATCTCGATTCCTGTGAGAATTGTCAAAATTTTGTCACCTTTCTGGTCTAGGATAACTAAACTGTTGATAAACATATCCGCCTTCCTCTCCCTTAAAGGAGGCGAGACAGCAAAAATTTCGGGGGACGAAATCGCGCCGCGCTTATGTAGACCATCGGTCGTCCGGCGCCTTCGCGCTAGCTAGCGGCGCTGTAACCCTGAGCTGCCTGTCATGAGTTCAACCCCTCATGGGGGTTCTCTATGCAAAATATCAGGAAATCTTTTTTTTTGATGCCTGGCCTCCTTCAAGTCTTGCTTTTTTTTTCAAAATTGGAAAGGTTCAGAATTTCCAAAATATTTTCAGGCGTTGAAACCTAGGTTATGACCCGAAAACGGACATCCATACTTGCAAAAATCGTTGAAGGCTCGGGCCTTGGAAAAATTTGAAGGCCCAAAAAATAATTTCTTTGATAAATTTTTGAAAATTGTTCAACAAAAAACTAGTTTTTGAGAGAAAAATGTCATTTTGCTTCAAAAATGCAATTTTCAGTCCGATCCACCTCCGGAAAACAGTCAGCGAAAAAATTATTTTTAAAAATTTTGTTTAACCATTGAAAATGTAATAATTACAATCCAGCTTGAAATTAGATGCTAAACACTAGGGTTGTTGCTGGCCGCCAGTGCCAGAGCTATGGGCCTTTCAATTTCACGTGATTTGCATTAAAAACCAGCGAAATTTTTAAGCAGGCAATATTTGAATGTTTAAAATTTAAACCGGCGTCAAACGCCGCTTTCTTTTTGAGAATAGAATTTACCTTTTGGTTCACCAATATCCCCTCACTGTAGCTTCAATCTTGATTATCTCAGTTCTTATGAAAGATAGCAGAAAACTGTCAACTGATGAAATGCTCCAAATGTCAAGAAAAACATTTTGGCAGTTAACGGTTTAGTCGTATGTTTCACAAGAAGTCAGATAATTGATTTTAAAGGGAGAGAAGGGGAATTATAAAATGTTAGAACGAATTTGGTATTTGAGAAGTTACCACTAGTCTTCAATCAATAGTTTTTTGTGATTATGTCTGGATCGAGGTTTAGTTCAAAAGTATTTGTTTAGGTTTTTAGAATTTAAAGTTGTAAACTTTGATTTCCGGGACTTCCGAATGCAGGTTTTAAAAAAACTACGAAGTTCGGAGATATTGAAATTTTAAATTTCAAAAGTTTAGGAATTAAGAAATTTTTCGCTCAAAAATATAAAGCATGACAGTATAGAAACACCGAAAATAGTTCTTTAAAAAATGAAAATACTGAAATTAGAAAGAAATTCAAAAATTCTTGAATCCTGAAAATTCGAAGTTCGGAAATTTTCAGAAAACAGTAGAGTTTCATGAAATCTATACGTTTTTAAAATCGCACAAATTATAGACTTTTTAAAATTCTGAAATTTCAAAAAAAATTTCAGAACTTTCAGACACCAGATTTTCAGAATTTCAAACATAATTCCAGAAGTAATCAAAATTTTCAAAGATCTAAAATATCATTTTTCATTCCATTTCATTGTTTCGGATCATCAGTCGTTTTTTTAAAATCTTTTCTCTATGAAGTATTTTCTATTGAAAAATTCATCTTTTAAAAAACCGGCGTTTGATGCCAGTGAAAAATTTTACTGGCGATTCACGCCGCTCTAAAAACTGGCGCTGGCGGCCAGTGCAAAATTAAAAGCGGCGTGTGGCGCCAGAAAACGCCATTTTGGCCAGCCTACTAAACACAACGTTTTCCAACAAAAAAAAAAAGCTATTTTTCCTGAATTTCGACGCTGGCGCCAGCTGTCCGGGCCTTCCGGGACTCCTGGTCCGGGCCAGGCCTTGACCAACTTTTTGAAGGTCCGGCCCGTTGCAAGTATGCTAACATCTAGTTCATGGTCTAAAAATAAAAATCTAGGTCATGACCGAAAAGCTGAAATCTAGGTCACGACATAGAAACTCAAGTCTAGGTCATGACCTAAAAATTGGAATCTTGGTCATCACCCCGAAAACTGAAATCTAGGTCATGAAATAAAAATGAAAATCTAGGTCACGACCTAGAAATCAAAATTTAGGTAATGGCCTTGAAATTAAAAACTGTCATGACGCAAAAACTGAAATCCAGGTCATGACCTAGATTTCTATTTTTATTTTTAGGTCATTTTTGGCCATGATCTAGAGCAGAAGGCAGTTTTGATAAATGATCCAAAAAATTTTTCAGATTTCAAATATAATGAATTCATTCTGTCAAACAACTCAACACATAATAATTCAGATTCAGTCATTTTTTAGTTCTCTACCAACCTATATCACACCAGTTCCGGTCATTTACCTCAAGAAGCTGTTAAAGACTGCTAGAAAAAGTTTTCACTGAAACTCATCCCTCGAAAATATTTCCTAAATGTTTTCTGGATTCTCAGTTCACTCCAAAATCTGAAAGTACTCTGGAAATTCTAGAAGAGATTAGCTATCACGTGCACAAAACCTTTGAACGAGTTCAAAAAAGTTATTGGCAAGGAAAATGTTTATCAACCTGCTCAAAAAAAGTTCCTAATTGTTTACTGATAAGCTTCTCATCAAACATCACAAAATCGTAAATTATCTTCATTTTGATATTTGGATAATAAAGTTATCAACCACACGACAACAAAACAATCTTCAATTGGTTTTCCTCGTTCCCATCTGAAACATTTTCAACCCTCTTCTCTCTCTATTTTTCATATTTCTGTGCTATCAGTTGTGTGCTAGTGTTCTATAAATAATCCGGTGATAATTCGACAGCTCATTGGCACATTAAAAAACCGCGGCGCGAAATTTGAGGAATTCGATGATAATAAATAGAATGACCGAAGGACAAAGAGTGCGTAGTTTGAAATGTTAGAATTAGGTTCTTCTAGATGTGATGACAATTGTTTTTTCTTTGAAAAGTTTCCATGAGAAAAATCATCAAGTCCAAGATTAGGGCAACTTTTGATGACTTTCATCGAGACAAACTAGAAGTGTGAATAATGTGAACTATTGATATGATGATAATCAAACTGAGGACACCCATTTACTAATTTGTGACTGATACTGATTGAGTTATTGGTTTGACCATGAGGTCATTGATTAGAAACTGTGCTGAACACAACAATAAGTTCCGGAAGCATACTAGCATAAAATTTGAGTAAAGCGTTGTACTGAGCTCAAATTTGAAGTGCAATCATTCAAATAATTCATCAGTAAACTGGCTAAATTTCAAATGATTTAATCAAATTTCAATGGTACGCCGTTCATCTATTGAACAACCATAACAACACCTAGACTTGAGGAATAGCTTAGAAAATTTCAGTAGCTTTAAATCAAACTTAAAATTATATTTCTACCAGTTTTCGTGCTCTCAAGATATTTGTGTCTAAAGATATGCCATTTTTAACAGTCTGGGTCAATTATTTACCACGCTGAATTTGGTAGATCAAGCCGTCGGCCCACATAATGGTTTGACTGGTTTATGGCGGCTTTTCTGCGACTTAAAACAATGCTCTGATTTTGACAGGCGGTTCGAGATACTTGATTCATATCCTGAAGTAACTATCACAGTATTTTTGATGGGATTCCAAATCAGGAATCTTGAGATCATATCCCCAGAATATTCCAACCTTGTTACACATTTGAATTGCATTCCATTCTTTCTATGAGACAGTTGCTTTCCGGTTCTCTCCACAAAAATCTTCTTAACTTTTCAAAATTTCCTTTTTTCTAGTAAAATAACCTTTCTTAATGACGTAAACGACTCTAAACCGCTTGACCTAATTCCCGTTCTGTTTGAGTTTTAGTTCCGATCATAGACCAACTCTTTCCATTGGATTCCGGAAACTTATACAAAACCGTTAATAGATTTTGCACCGAAATAAACCCTTGGAGGTGTGGTAGTCAGAAAAAGAAGAAGTCATTTGATTAAAATGTTTCACAGTTTTTCCCCCTAATCACGATACAATTGGCAGTTATTGCCCTCTTCTTCGCCTCCGAAACAATACAGACACTCATCATTCGAAAGTGATAATGAGCGGTAAGGGAAAAAAAAGTGGAGGGAAAGTGAGTGTGAGCCCCGCCTCCAGACCGTTTTCGCATTTGAAACTATTTCCGACGATTCTCAAGTCAGAAGAGTCTTGAAAAGAAGAAGCAGAAGTCCCAAGATGGCGTCAGTCTACGATTCTGATTCTCGTCCACCATACATGTCTTCATATGCGGTGAGTTTTCGGTTCTATATGAAAGTTAAGGTTCTCAAAATTTTCGTGGTCTTCACTAATAGAAGTCATCTGTAGCTTTCATTCTATTGAACCAAAAATCTTGAACTACATACAACTACAGGGTTACCTGGACTCAAGTTTAGAGTAGTATATGATCAAATTTGAGCTGAGTTATCGCTTGTCAAAGTAGCTTCATCTCATGAAAACCACATACAAGAAACATTTCATCTTTGGATAATCATAACAATACCTAGACTTGAGGAATCGCTTTGAAAATTTCAGCAGCTTTGAATCAAATGTAAAGTTATATTTCTACTAATTTTCGTGCTTTTAGGATACTTATGTTCAAAGATATGTCCTTTTTTTATCAGTGCGGGTAATCAGAATGTAGTCAGAAATTTAAAATTCCGGCAGTTTTCAAAAGTTCGAGAAAACGCAACATTCCGGATCAATTTTCAAGATATTCCTAACTTACATATATTCTATAATTTCAGCATGAAGAAGCGTGGGGCCAAACGGCCATCACTCACCAAAAAACTTCTTTCTCATCCCGAAAGAAGGAATACTCTCTTCTGACGAAATGCGTCGCCGAGTTTCTCGGTGATCTCACTTTCGTTTATGTTGGTACGTTATTCCAAAAAATGTCCAATATCTCTCTCATCCCTCAATTTCAGGTACCATGCAGGCTCATCTGTTCCCATTCGCAGATGATATCCTTCATGCCGCCTTCGCTCATGGACTAACAATTTTCATTCTAGCCACAGCATTCGGTCATATCAGGTACATCATTTAACACACCCAAAAAAGAAAAAGAGAGGTGATGGAAATTTCAGAATTATGGCGCATTGATAGTAGCCACTCTTATCAACCAACACCCCCAAATTAGGCTCCTTTTACAGTCACACAAGCAGTCAACACGATACACGTTGTCATTACGGAAAAAAACGGAGAAAAATTTTGCACGCCAGCTAGAAAATACGAAATAAAAAACTGAAAAAAGGGTTTTTTTTCAGCGGTGGACACTTCAACCCAGCAGTATCATGGGCCGTCGCTGGAGCCGGAAAGATGCCAATATGGCATCTCCCATTCTACGTGGTATCTCAACTTTTTGGTGGATTCTGTGGAGCAATGCTGACAGCGTCTATTCTGACACAAACACAATTGTCTGCTTGCTCAGCAGGTGCAACTCTTGTCACGGAGGGAACTCAGTGGTGGCAAGGATTAATTGCGGAAACTGTGGTTACCTTCTTCCTGGTTCACACTATTTTGATCACAGCTGCTGACACGGACACTGTGACACTGGCTCCCCTTGCCATTGGTCTCACTCTCTCAATTGATATCCTGTCAACGTAAGATTCCATGAAGATCTCAAATTCAATTCCCTATTTATAATTTCAGTGGATCCATCACCGGCGCCTCCATGAATCCAGCCCGTTCTCTTGGTCCCAGCATCGTTGGAACAATCTTCGCCACTCAACCAACGTATTACTATTGGACGTATCACTATATTTACTGGGCTGGACCACTTCTAGGATCCACGATCGCTCTTTGCATTTACAAGTGAGTTTTTGTTGAACGATGTAAATAATTTTTATGTTTCCAGACTTTTCGAAGCTCGAGAAGACAGAATCGTTCCATGAACACTCGAAATTCATGATAATTTGTGATAATATTATCTATAAACCTCGCCAATCTTTCAATGCATTGTCATTTTTTCGTATGGAAAATATTTTTCAACTTGTATAAAGCATTAATTTCCTTGGACAAGTCTTGATTATTTATTCCTATGACTTTATAGCCGATAGAGTTTGAGCGTTGACTGATATTGGAATGGTTACGTGTCGTTGCACTTCCAGTTGGAGTAACGACAACGTCAGCTGGGCCGTTAGCGAAATGGATGATAAGCTTTTCCTCCTCCGGTGATCCAGCAGTTCGAAGGATAGTAACGTCCTTTAACGTCCTTTGTTCCAGATGAATCAATCAATTGGAAAACTGGGGATACAGTACTCAATGTTCTTTAACGGCTTGTTCTGGAAGATCGGCTTGTCGACCAATTTGTGGGTCGAGGTTCCTTTGGAAAGGTACATGTTGGTCGATCGGCGCTCAAAGACATATTTTGACTTCGATTGGAACTCCCTTGAGAAGATTCTGTGAATATTTTAATTTGTGTTTTTATGATTTGTACATCTTTTTACAAACTATATAGTAACATAAAAGACTTTCTCTATATATCGTACAGTTCCATACAGGCAGTTAGCCCTTAAACGCATCCCAAATGTACAGTATGGCACATTTATCCGGACTTAAGTTTGGGCCTGCATAAAATTTGTGTACAGCGTTGTGTTAAGCTCAAATTTCGATAGCTAAAATTCAGATAATTCATCTGTAAATTGGCAAAGTTTCAAACTATTTGATCAACTTTGAGCTGAGCTATCGCTTGTAAAAGTTGTTTCATCTCATGCCGTACATAACGCCGTTCATCTTTGAACAACCATAACAAAACCTAGACTTGAGAGATAACTTTGAAAATTTCAGCTACTTTGAATCAAACTTGAAATTAGATATCTACCAGTTTTCTTGCTTCCAAGATGTTTATGTCTGAAGATACACCCGTTTTATCAGTCCGAGTAATTGTGCGCTGCCCTGTAGACCAAGATGCACACTACTCACAATCTGATTTCTGATTTGATCAGCTAAACAGTAACATCTCGATCTTGTCATTTCAAAAAATCTTCTTCTGATTTAACCTTTGGTCATTTTTGATGCGATTCTGTCTACGTCATGTACATATCCGAAGTTGTTAACACCTGAACCGTAGGGTCAATTGTCTACTACCTAAAGACATTGTTTATTGGATGATTGTAAATTTCAATGAGTCATCTCAAAAAAATTGAAAATGTATATTTAGAAGAAGAGAGATAGACATACACAGAGTGCGCAAAAACGAGTTTCTCGACCGAATGAAGATAGGAAGAAGAAGAAGAAAAAGAAGACGTTGCCCTCCCGTGTCTTTTTTCCCGAGACGACAACCCCTGCGACCGACCGACCGACGGCATTTTGTTGTAACATTGATTGAATACAAACTCTTGACATCATGGTCACTTGTCTTTACCTTTTCTTACTCTTCATGTGACTCTTTTTTCAATCCTTTTTGGTTTTTAAAAGATTTCCAACCTATAGAATGTCGTCGTCTGCTATTTCGGATCAGATGGATGTGGAGTCGTCTTCAGCATTCTCTCCAGCTGAGCCAGTTGTTGATGGAGCATTTGTTTCAAAACATAACTTGAGTGCTGAAGCATATCAGGTATTATAAATAGCGAGAACTTCTAAAGTATTGTATCATCCCAGGGATTCAAAGAATGCGCCGACTCACTGCTCTCCGGAAAAGTTGCTCAGCCAGAGCAGCTAGCATTCATTCAGAGAACACTTCAAATTTGTGAGAACGTGATTCTGAATTTTGAAGACGAGAAACAACATTTGATGAGTGATGTTCTTTTGGTGTGGGCGATGAAACAACAAAAACTAAGTATTGCAACCCTTCACACCCAACAGTTGCACTATAAAGAACTGGATCTGATCAATTTGCAATTCGAGTATTTCGGAGAACTCCTCCAACAAACTTTATCTGGATTGGATTATTTGAAACAATATTATCCGAATGTTGGATTTGAAGAGGTCCATTCGAAAGTCAGAAATCTCACACATTATTTTCTGTACTATTCTATTATTGTCAGTCGCCAGCCACCGTCGGTAATTGTTAAATGTGGAGAAGCAGAGAATCATAGAAGATCTAGATTCTGGTTTAACACTGAAATCAGGTAATTTTTTGCTATAATTCATTGAAATATACCGTAAATCCTGTTATAGAAGGGTCAATACAGGTCCCTGTCAAACATATAAAAAAGTTGTCAACTGATAAATTGTTTATCATAATATCAGAATTGCCTTGTTAGTTGAAAAATTTTGATGTCTCTCATAGGAATCAAGACAATTGAGCTCACAATGTGGAAGCCCTTCTATTACAGGTTTTACCGTAAAACTAATAGTTCAGAATCCTTGGTGGAAGTGCATTCGGAATCGATACCAACAACGAAAATTCAAATGTCAATTGCTATTTGATTACTGATGAAACTGCCAAACAACTTCTGAATAATGCCTACTTGGATATGTAAGATTTCGTTTTGTAAATTTTCATTTTAAATTTCTTTTTTCCGTTTCGAATCAGAAGAGTTCTGCATTGAGCCAAACACAACAACATTCCAGAAGAAAGATGCAAGAGGAATTAAAGCGAAATTCGATGATATGGTATGAGAATCAATAAAAGTGAAAGAAAGATGAGAAATAACAAAAATATTATTTAAGAAAGTTGCAAAAAAAGTTCAACTTCGGCGAGACTCTGTTGCAACGAAGCGATATTGTCTTTGCTACAATATTCAGTTGCAAACCAATTGTGGAATCGAGCTGGTTGGAAAGAAAGTGGGTTGAAATTCAATGGAGCATATAATATGGATCTCTCGTTCAGGTATCACTACCATTTGCGGTGTTGGTTGGGCCGAAAGCTGATGTTGAGGCAAAGTTGTTCTTGGAGAGGTCATTTGCAGATTTGGTAAGTTTTTTGAAGCCCTATTTTTACAGACTGGCACCCTGGGTACCTGAAATGGGTATCAAAAAATTAGTGATATCTCTTACAAGGTTACATTATTCATTAAAATTACTGTGACATAGACTATGAGTAAAAGTACTGTCTGAGCATTAAAACTATCGTATTTGCTCTAATAGATGCCCACTCTATGCATTTCGAGCTCAAATATCTCGGTTCCTATAAAGAGATATCGAAAATCTGTCAACTGTCAAAATATTGTGATAATTTGATTAACAATTTATTAGTTAACAAATATTTTATATCTTTCGAAGAAACCGAGGAAATTGAGCTCAAAATCCAATTGAGCTCAAAATCCAGCCAATGGTGGGCTTCGATTAGAGCTAATTTCGGTAGACAAATGCTTCATGTTATGATGCTCCGAATTTAAAATCCAAAAATTTACTTTTTTCACAGCTTCAGAAACGTTTCCACTTCAAGTCAAAGTCTTTAATTCCAGGTTCGTCATCCTCTATCCGATATCCCTACCCACGTTTCGTGTGCTGAAATGGCTGATGCTCTAGAGATGAAATTTCAAGCAATCGTCGAAACGCCACAAAAGAATACAGATGGACCATCTGTGGTTCAACCAAGAAAGTTCAATATGCAAACTAAACAGCATTTGGTGATGAGAATGAAACCTAATCAGCAAGGATTTCTGGCACTGGACAATTTTATGAAGGTAACAAAACTACCGTATTTGCTCTTAGGAAAGCCCACCCAAACCGTCAGCTTTGAGGCCAATTATTTCGATTCCTGTGATAGATATCAGAAAAATGTCAATTAGTAAATTATTCATCAAAATATCACCAATATTTTATCAGTGGACAAAGTTTTGATAGCTTTTAAAGGAATCGATATAATTGAGCTCAAAGTTAACGGTTTAGGTGGGCTTCTATGAGAACAAATCCATTTGTTTTTATTTTCATAGAACTCGAAAACGTTCTGAGGCTCAGAACTTTTAGGAACTGTTCTGTAAACGGAAGAAAAATATGAAAAATCTTGACCTCAACAGTTACGAATCATTTCACTTTATTGACGGTTCCCAACCAACCAAAATTCCACCCCCACACTTCATGAAGTTCTCCCAAAATCCTTGGGTTTCAAGGAGAACAACAAAACTATTATGTTCTTCCTACATATACTTTCCTTCAAAAAAAACGAGTTTCTTCTCTTTTTATCCTTCTCTGTCTAATAGTAAGTAATGACAAGTTCTTTCCCCCACTAAACCCCTCAATTTTCAGCTTGCGGTCGCCGAGGAGTTTCAGCAAAAAAAGAGCGCCGCGTCGGATGGAGATTGGAAATTAGTGCCATTCTATGACTGGTTTTTCAAGCTGGCAGAAATTACGAACAAGTATCTGTACAGCATGTGGTATGATGGGTAGGTTGAAGAAGATCCCATAAGAAAAGAAGAAAAAGGTTTTCAGATTGATTTATGGATTCTGTAGTAAGGAAGATGCGGAAAACATTTTGAGATGTATCCCAAGAAGTGTCCTATTGGTTCGATTCTCGGATATCGAGTACGGAAAAGTTAAGATATCTGTGAAAAGTCGAAATGGAGGTTGGAAATCTTATATGGTCTTGTATGGAACTTTATCTTCTTTATCTCAGAAATCCGTCACCACTGGTACGAGCACGCCGACCTAAATGCTCGGTCCCTCAATTCCGAACTTCTGTCAAATCACAAGTTCTCCGATGTCGATCTCATTTATCCGGACATTGATCTAGAGGTATATGTCTTCTTCATGTTTACACATTTACACGCCTAGATTAGAATCTTTATGAAACACTTATGACATGAAAATATGACACGAAGTTGAAATTGAGAGAAAAGGAATGATCTAAATGAGAAGAGGTTAATGTTCATAAACCATTTTCAGGTTGCTCTTGGAGGCAGGAACAAGCCACGTGTCCGACTTCCGCGCAATCTGGCTCCAGACGAAATCTACTTTGATAATCAAGGAGCGGCTACCTAAGACGTTATCTGAATTCATATGATTTATCAGTTAGATATCACCAGTACAAACTGTTCTAAAATAAAATGTTGTTGTACAGTTAGTTCTGGTTCATTTGACCTGATGACATGAGTCATGAATTGAACAAGACATTTGACGAAGGAAGATGCCCCACGAGGAAAACAACGTCATCAGGGAGAGTTAATTGGAGAATTAAAAAAAAGTTGAAGAATCAGGAAAAGTAGATTGAACAGTCAAAGATGGTTAACTTCTGGGAACAGTTTCGAGAAAGATAAACTCAACAACTCATTTTTCAAATCCGACGAGACTCAAGTTAGAACTAGTATAACTTTGGAGCAAAAAGTTGTAATAGGCTCAAATTTGGAGTGCGAAAATTAAAATAATTCACCAGGAAACTGGTCAAGTTTCAAATTATTTGATCAGCTTTGAGCTGATCCCTTATCAAAGTTGTTTCATCTAGAAACATTATGCCGTTGATCTTCGGACAATCATAACAATACCTAGACTTGAGGAATCGCTTCGAAAATTTCAGCAGCTTTGAATCAAATGTAAAGTTATATTTCTACTAATTTTCGTGCTTTTAGAATACTTATGTTCAAAGATATGTCCTTTTTTATCAGTCCGGGTGATTGTGCGCTATCCTGTTTCTGAAGGCAGAAATTTTACATCCTAACAGTTAAAAAAAAAAAAATTACTGTCCGACCATCGGATCTTTCTGGAATTTGTATTAATTTCTAAGTTTTTTTGAATTTCGTATCCCCCTAATTTCATTGAATCGAAACTTTTTCTATACGAAATTATGTAAACTTTAAGTTTAAGTATTCCAAAAAAAAATTGGCAAAAGTTGTCAACAACAACATGCTTCGAAATTTGAAAAATTGCAAATTACAAAGTTTTAAGTATCATTTTCTTATTTCTCTCAAGCACTAGATTTTTCTGAAGCCCGATACACTCAAAAATTTTAAGTCAAAATTTTTCCAAGAATTCTTTCCCTCACAAATGACCACTTTTTTGCCCATTCTCCCGGATCGTTTATCTGCTGTTGTTCCTTTTAATCCCATCTATCCATTTTCACTTTATCATTTGTCCTCCCTATGATAACACTTTCTCTAATCAATTGATAATAATTCATCACAGCCTAAACCATCCATACAAAAAACACACAGACACATAGAATACTTTCCCTTTCCCGGATAGTAAATTGTCGAAAATCTCCACAAAACAATGCACTATTTTTGCAACACACGAAATCTCTGAATGGGGGCGGAGTCTCCATATTCACTGCGCTTCTCCTCATATTCTATTCGGCACTGTCTCCACCCGTTCCACTGGTTTAACCAAAAGCGGAAAGGGCAGAAAGCTTGCGCATTTCTTTCTAGCAAAAATCCTTCGATTTTCGCCTCCTCTTTTCGTTTTTTGCCCCTTTATTACTTTAATTACTTTTTCAGAATGGTTACTAATCTCCAATCCATTGTAATTGCTTCAATCTGTTTAGTTTCTGTTTTTGTTGCTGGAGAGAATAACGAGGTTACTGTACCTGCGGTCAGAGTGGTTCGACTTCAAGTCGACTACAGAAATGCATCAGTTTCAGACTTGCAAAAGATTCATAAGTGAGTTTAAAGAATAATAAACTTGACAGTAGATACTCCGATTTTAAGGTGGAATGCAATCATGAGAAACAGTGTTCTCGCTTCTTTAAAGTTCATCAACAAGCACTGGCTCATTTGTGGAGGATCTCCATCAGATAGGTACGGTACCGGTCAATATTAGTCATTTTTACAATGTTATGTCTGGAGCGCAGTCAAGTTTCCGATCACTTTGAAATTTTTGTAGGGCTTACAATTAGAACAGACTTAGATTGAAAACGTTGTATTTACAGAACTTTTTGAAAATTCCTAGTTTTTCAGTTATTTGCCGATTTCTGAAAGACCTGATTTCATAAAAACCGGCCGAAAGACGAGCAAAAAAGAAGTGTCTTTCAGAAATTGGCAGATAGCTGAAAAACTAGGAATTTCCAAAAAGTTCTTTGAGTGCAAAGTTTTTAATCTAGGTCTATTTTACATCTTCCAAAATTTTCAAAACAATCGAGAACTTGACAGCATAGCTCCAGAATTCTGAAAATGGTCAAAATGACCCAAACACCGGAAAAATACGTTTTTGTATCTTATGCACATCAAAAATTTATTAACTTTCAGTTCTTCCTCGTCGAATGCCGATTGCGGAAAAGCTCAAGTGACCGGAGAGATTGTTGGAGATAGACATTACAGAATCAATGTTACACTGATTGCTGAGAGGTAATTCTTTTATCGATTCATGATATACATACCGTAAAACCTCTAATAGAACGACACCCGGAACGTCCACTTTGAGCCTATATATCTCATTTTCTGTGAAAGATATCAAAAAGTAGTTAATTAGTAAAATGTTTATCAGGATATCAGCAACATTTTACTAGTTAGCCACTTTTTGATATCTTTTGCAGAAAATGAGATATATAGGCTCAAAGTGGACGATCCGGGTGTCGTTCTATTAGAGGTTTTACGGTAATTTTCAAACCACGAGTATTCCAGAGATCCTGTGAAAAATGCTAAAGTTGGTGCCACTTCAACCGTCTACGCAGTCGCCCACATCGGACTTAAAGGAGGAATTTTTCAATATACAAATGCTTTGAAGGTAGTTACTTTTTTCGAATGTTTCCACATGTTCTTGAAAATTCCAGACTCTCGGAAAACCCGAACCAAAACTTGCATTCGATGAAGCATTCTTCTGTTACCGCGGAGCCACTCTTGTGGATACGGACAAATGTCGTAAGGATAGACGTCTTCGTGATTCTCCACTTCTTGATTCCGTCAACACACCAATCCCGTTGGCGAACTTACTTGCACTCTAATAAATTCAGAATACAGTAACTTATTATTATGTCGTCGGTGGAGTTGAAAACGCATAACCGATCAGTGATCAGCACTTTCTCATTGCATGTACATAATTGAAATCCGTAATAAAACACATTGTCAAAAAATAAAGCACTGTAATACAAGGGAACTCTGCTGAAAAAAGTAAAAAAAAAGATTTCCACAGGTCTCTGTACACCTGGAACATTCTACGACGAGTTTGACGAGAAGTGTGTTCCTTGCCCACGTGGGGAATTCCAAGATGAGCATGGTAGAACTATTTGCAAAACGTGCCCAGATAGCACGACTACAGTTGGAGCTGGAACCCAAAAGAAAGAGCAGTGCATCCGTAAATTTTTCAAGTAGTCTGGGATTCTGAAAATCCGCAGTTTTCCAGATGTTTGTCCTCCCGGTTACTTCTATGATACTGCTTCTAAAATGTGTGAGACTTGTGGTCTTCGAGGATATCAGCCGAATAGCGGACAGGACAGATGCATTTTGTGTCCGGAAGGAACGGTTCCAATTTATCAAAACTCTACCACTATTGCTCATTGTCTAGGCGAGTTTGCTTCGTAACTGAAAAATCTGAAATCTGAAATAATTCCAGATAAATGTCGCGCTGGAATGCAACGATCATCAGATGGGTCAACTTGTGAACCTTGCCCAATAGGATCATTTAAATCGGCGGAAGACATGGTTTGCATGATGTGTCCAACTGGAAGGACAACCCTCTCAAAGGCCTCAAAGAGCTTGGCAGCATGCCATATTAAAATCTGCTTCCCTGGAACTATTCTTGATCACAGTACTTTCAAATGTGAGCCTTGTGACTTTGGAACTTTTATGGACGAATACGATGGAAGGATTTGTAAGACTTGTCCAGTATCCACGACTACATATCAACTCGGAGCCAACAGTGCAAAGATGTGTGAGTGGACGAATCAGTGCAAAGCTTCAACTCACAACTGTCACTGGCTTGCTGCTTGTATTGATCTTCCCGATGAGAATCACAAAAAAATGTATTCGTGTAAATGTAAACCGGGATTCGTTGGAAATGGATTCCACTGTGTGGATGCTTGTGAAGGCTTTTGTCTGAATGGTGGATCATGTTTGAAAACTGGTAGAGGGGAGACGAAATGTATTTGTGCGAATGGATTTGCTGGAAGACGTTGTCAAAGTGAAGAGTAATCTGGGCCAGTGGGGATCCGTTATATAATTATTTTCCTCAACTTTCTCAGGTTTTGAAATCAGGTGTAAATTATTGTGTTTATCAAGATAAACAAGGTTTTATTTTTTATTGAACTTTCAAATTTTTTGAACTTTCAAATTATTACGAATTCATTGAACTTTCAAATTATTACATTTTGGAAAAAGACATGTTATACAATATTACCGGTCCAATTAAATGAAAATCGGGAAACATCGGTTTAAAGCAACCCATTTCAAAGTGAAAAACGTCAACTTTGAGCTCAATTAACTCGATTTCTGTGGAAGATATCAAAATTGTATCAATTGATAAAATGTTGATAATAAAAAATATATACGGTAAATCATTTATCAGTTTGCAGACTTTTGATATCTTTCATAGAAATCGAGGTAATTGCGCTCAAAGTTGACGATTTGGATAGGCTTCTATTAGAGGAAATCAAGGATGGGATTTTACGTTCACGTTTTTTACGGGTTTCACGGTATTTTGAGACAGCTGTACAATTTTACGGACTCTCCGTAAAACTGTATCCATAAAATCCGTAAAAACGGTGAAATATGAAAAAAAAATTGTTTTTGGCGAGCAAAACCTTTTTTTCCGAGTTTGACGATGTTCGAAATTTGGAACTTCGCGAAACTTCGATGCAAAAATTGAAAATTATGGATTCTCACACATTTTTTATCCCTTTTCCCTGTATTTTGAAGTTAATTGTTTTTTTTTTGATTACCAATTGTATCTTTTGATTACCAATTGTATCTTTTGATTACCAATTGTAAATTTGTTGAATTTTTGGAAAAATATTAAGAAAATCTGCAAAAAAAATAACTTTAAAAGCATAATAACTTAATAGCAGTGGACTAAAAAATCCTCGTAGCTTTTGGACAACATTTGGACACTCATTTTATTTTTAAGGACGTTTTTCGGGATTTTTGAGGTTTTTGTTAATAAAAGTGTTAAAATGCATAATTTTTGAATTGCTGAATTGGAATTTCGCTAAATTACATACTAGAAATAGCGAATAACTCGGAAAAATACGTTTTGCTTGCCAATAACAGTCATTTTGCAAAGTTTACGTTTTACGGATTTTACGGAATTTGACGGTTTTTTAATTCCGTAGATTTCACGTTTTACGTAATCCGTAAAATTATTTTACGCCCAGCACTGGAGGATATGCGGTATGTTCACTCATAAACTACTGACTTTTTCAAACTCGAACTTGTGGCAGATCTAATATTGAAAAATTGTCTTCAATCGTAAATTCCAAATTCCTGACATCACTTCACTTTTTTTTCTATACCGGAAGACTCCACTTGACCTTAACTTTCCTAGTCTTTTCTGTACTCAATCATTATTATTTGCAACCTAATAAAGTGATAAGCGAAGAGCATTTGGTGATGATTGATATGATGTAAACTAGGCGATCGGAGGAAGAGGTGGAACGTAGTGTTGGTCATTATAAAAAGACGATAACTAATAATAAGGGTTGATAGAGTGGGAGAGCAATGGTCAACTATTCGAAACATTTTGTTCTTTTTTCTATTCTTATACTAATTCTTGTACATCTATCGATAGTGGAATCTGTTCCTGTAAGTTCTTAGAATACCGTATCCTTGAACTTCTTCGTGTTTAGGTTATAAAAAGTGGATACACAAAAAATCATCGGTTGTTCCGACCAAGACAAGGGACCTCAAACTCAAATGAGGTATATACTTCTGTTTAAATTTTTTCGAATTTCAAAATCTTTTTCCAGACAGAAAATGGATTCTGGACCAATGTATATTTTGTGATAACTGCCAGCGATTCATTCTTCGGAGGATGAAAAGAAAGTCAATTTCTAGTCCTTCTTTTTTCAATTTGTACAAAATATTCATTCGATTATCAAGTTCACCCGTGTTTATCACAAAAAAAAACAATTGAAACAATAAATCAGATCAAATCTACGGAAATTTCGTCATCCACATTTGTCACCAAAGTGTTCGTGCTTCCCATCCGAGTTTGTAAATGTATTCCATCTTCTTCCTCTCCTCTCAATTTATCACGATTCGAGTAACTCAAACTGTGAACTTGTACAGAGCTAAGCAATGAGAAAGTGCTGTGCACTACAGAAACTGTAATTTTTGGAAGCTCGGAATTTTTAGACGTTCTCTGAACCTACGTATAATAAGGGGAATGGATACAGTTGGATCCGAATGTGGTAGGAACAGCTCTGCAACCAAGACCACTGTACATGATAGTCTCTGAAAAAAAAGTCATATTGAAAAGTTCGATGACCGTAAAACCTGTAATAGAAGGGCTGCTACACATTCAACTTTAAGCTTAATTATCTCTTTTCTGTGCAAGATATCGAAAATGTGTCAACTGACAATTTACTTGTTGTATTATGATAAACAATTTATCAGCTGACAACTTCCTTACCAATATAACAAGGGAAAGGACCAGACGAAGGTAGCAAGTGGTGTTCTCTTGAGTCTACAAAAATCGTAAAATTGAGAACGACGGAAAAAACAACTAACAAAATCCAGGTAAAGAAGTGAAGCGAACGCAAGTGTTGAATCGAAAATGAGCAGCAGAGCCGGGAGCCAAGAGAAGAATGGAATGTGGTTGGAAAGAAGAGCGCGGAATCCAAGGATGAACGTTGTGAGAGTCTGAAGAAATATTCATTGTTTGTCTGAAAATGTATCTAAAAATGAAGAAATATTTAGATACTCACAAATGCAACCTGTGAGTAGAATATTTTCGAATGAGCATTCGCTCTGGGGTTAATTTCAGGTCTCAGCTTTGTCGTGTCATCCTTCGATGATCCGAATATCCGCATCTTTTAAGACATTGGGTTAGAGTAAGAATACGTTTCCTGAAAGTCAAGAATATGAAAATTGAAGACAAGTTGACATATGAATAAAAGGCGAAAAAAGACAGAAGATACATTTGTAATTCGAACCTCCTTGTCGTGGTGGGCCATGAGAAGGAGAAGGGGACAGGAAAAAAGGAATAGGATGGATATGTTTGTTGTCTTGTCCCTTTTTGAACATTTAAACAATTCCCGAGGGCCCGATGAACATGTTTGTTGTGTCACACGACAACCTAGATTTTCTGATTTAGGAGCCGGACTTTTTAGATATGTGGAAAAAGAGGTAGTTTCAAAATAAATTTGAAGACTAAGATTTCCTTAAAAACAGGTATATCGATCTACAGTAACCCATTCAGAATCAGTATAGCTACCGTAAGACTTGAAATAGAAGAGCCCCAACACTTTCAAGTTTGAGCCAATTTATCTCGGTTTCAGTGAGAGATATCAAAAATTGGTCAACTGACAAAAATTTTCAATATTACACGCTCTCCCACAGAACATTTCCGAACTGCAAATTAATTTTTGATCTACAGAAAAAAAGTTTGGCGCGATCACAATTGCAGGTCTAAAACCATAATTTCAGAATTTTTTATCTGATTTTGTGGAGTTCCAAGATGATTCAAATAATTCTTAAAAAATTAATTAGTGGTTATAGATTCATGTATGGTCCTTTTCCGGAAGAAAAAATGTCAAAAATGGCCATTTTTGAAAGTTTTTTACAGAAAAAATCTATCTCCTCTTTCAGTTTTTGACATTCCTAGGAGTTCTATAGCTCAAAAACCGCAATTATTTTCTCTACATTTTCTATGGATGAATTTTTAATTCGTCTGATAAACCTTTTTTTATAATTCAAAAACCTCATGAAATTGCACAAAATCGCATTTTTGCGTTGTGGCCGGGTCGGGTCGGAAAAAATTCTTCCGGCCCGGCCCGGTCGGCCGGGTAGTTGGTTTTTTGAAAAATTTGTGAGAAAAATTGTTTGTATTCCACCTGAACAACAGCTTCCTGTTATAATCCGCCCTTAGAAAAGTATCGAAACTTCAAAATTTATAGCATTTTTGATGAAAACTTCTCTTTCATCTATAAATCTTTTTTTGCGACGAACACAAATAAATGATTCGGAGAGAACTGAAAAAAAATAGGAAAAACAGCCGGTGGGAAATGAAATGAAAAATAAAAAGAAGAAGAAGAATGAAGAAGACGAAAAGAAAAAGAGAGGAAAGCCTAATCTGAGGAGAAATTAATAAAAACGAAACGACATGCAAAATGCGCAGTTTGATACAAATAGGACACAACCTTTCCAATTCGAATCCGATTGACGGCTAGTTTCAAATTGAACAAAAGCGAAATGAAAGTTCGGAAAGCATGGGTGGGAAGAGAATCGAGATGAAGAGACACACTAGTTTTACTCGCATGTATTTATGTTGTTATTGTTGTGGAGAAAAGGGTATAAAAGAAAAAGAAGACTAAGACGATTTGAAAAGAAAAGAGAAAGAAGGATTTTTGGATGAATAGGAAAAACTGAAAAGACATAGAAAAAGACCATCTGCGACCCATTTGATTTTAGTAGCCGACTGTTTGAGAAAAGGTTTCAAATACCACACTCCTCGTTCGCGCACTCAAATAAACAGTTCGCACCGCCCGATTCTCTGAATCTCTTCGTCTTACACGATCTCTTGCTCAGAGTTTGACTATCAAATTACCACAGGTTCTTCTACATAATCGAGTGGGTGAGGGATAGAGGAGAGAACACAGTTGAAGTAAGTAGCGAACTGTTTAGTTTGAGAGGGAACAACGCAGATGGTTATCGCAATGACATGATTTCGGAGATGGTCAGATGGTACCTGAAAATTACTATTTGAGAAAAAGTTAGCGTTCCACATCTTTATAGCACAAAAATAGTACACATTACATATGGAGATATGGATCAATCATACAAAAGAAAAGTTAGATAAAAAGAATTTGTTAATTTAGGGAGGGTTGGGTAAAATTTGAGACCATGAGGTCTTTCTCAGAGATCGGGAATTGGAGATAAACCGGACCGGGGAAGAAGTAAGAAGAATGCATTATTCACTAGCAACTGGAGCAGTTGGAGTTGTAGCTGACTCGGATTCCTCAGTGGTCTCCATTGCCTTCTCGTCTGGAACAGTGGCGGCTCCTTCCTCCGACTTGCGCTTCTTGGATACCTCGGCTGGTTCCTCGGAAGCTGGACGTTTGGTTGGACGACGAACCATGTTGGTGATGTCTTTGGTCTCCTCGCCGCTCAACTTTGAGATGTTCGCAGCGACTTCCTCAAGGTCCTTCTTGACAGTCTCCTTGAGCTTCTCAGTTTGCTCGGCAGATGCACGTGCGTCGATAACGAAAGCATCAAGTTCTGGAATGACAGCCTCGAGTTCCTCGATTTCAACCTCAATATCGCTCTTCTCGTTCTCGGCAACGGTCTCTAGTTGCTTCTTCAACTCCTCAACCTTTGCAATCAAAATATTCTTGGATTCACAGAAGTGAGTGGCAGCCTTCTCAAAGATCGAATCCAAGCTGAAAGACTTTGCGAGAAGGTGAGTAGTGTTGGCAAGAATGCGAGAAGTCGCTGGGAGAAGAGCACTTTGAATGGCGACAGCCTCGGCCAAATCTTTTTGAGCTTGTTCGTACTTAGAATCGACGATTCCATGCTCTCCGAGAGAAGTGAGCACGTCAGCCTGGTTCAGCTTCCAGACCTTGACAGCATCGGCATTCTCTTCGCCTTCAAGGCTCTTAAGCTTCTTCTCGCAGATGCAGCGTGACGTCTGCAAATGAAACATTTATGTGAATAACTAAATGTAACTGAATACCTCAAGGAGCTCCCAAGCGAGCTTGATTGGCTCTTCGTCATCGTCATCTTCGGCCCCATCTTCCGCTTGTTCGGCTTCTGGGTCTTGTTCTTCGGCACCTTCTTCTTCAACAGCTTCCATCTCGTCATCCTCAGTCTCGGTGGAATCAGCAGCAGCAGCCACTTCCTCCTTCGTTTCATCGACGGTTTCCTCGTCCTTCTTCTCCGTTTCGGTAGCCTCCATCATTTCTTCTTCGATGGTTTCTGGCTTTTCCGCGGCGACACCAAGAGCTTCCTCCACCTGTTGCTTGATTTCCTCCCGCTCTTCCTCTGAAAATTCATCAATTCGAAAAACTATTCAAATTACCCAAGTTCATTTATGAATGACTATGAATCGTAAGTAAACGACTAACCTGGAACTTTGTCCGGGTTTTCGACGATATCATCTTGAACCTCATCCTCACCCTTTGGCATGTCGGTGAGAGCGTTCGTGAGAACCTCGTCTTCGATCTTGGAAAGTTCGAGAAGAGCCTTTCCGTACAAGAAGTTGGCATCGAAGGTCTCCTCATGTGCTTCTCCGAAGATTTCCGCTCCGAGAGCAGCAGCCAGACTGAGAGCTTCCGTAGCCTTGTCGAAGACGTTAGTCTTCATGAAGCGGCGACCAGCAATGAGCTGCTCAGTGTACTTCTTTTGCCTGCAAAAATTACTTATAGTGAACGCTTATGAGTGTGGCGCACTTCTCTTCTGGAGAAAGCTCCTCAGCAGCCTCTTCCATTGGCGTCGCATCGGTAACTTCAACAGTGACGGTCTCAGTGGTAGTTTGAACGGTGTTGGTCCCATCGGTTGTTTCAACAGACACTGTCTCAACAAGAGTTTCAACAGTGACCTTGGCTTCATCGACAGCTTCAGTAATCTTGGTTTCTGCTTCCGAAACTTTTTGTTCAGCAACGACCTCTTCCGATGCCTTGGCAGCGACTTCAGGAGTGTTTTCAACGACAGCGGCCGTCTCGTTGACTTTCTCGACAGAGTCGGTAGCGACCTTCTCTACAGTCTCCTTCTCTTGGGTGATGGTGTTAGTGGTGTCAGCAAGAGCGCTCATTGTTAGTTCTGAAAAGTAGCGATAAATGAAGAACAACTTCTAGAAGAGAATCAAGCGGACATCACAAGACCAATCTGCGCAGAATCTGAGAACTCGGTCTCGCAAATCGGATAAATATCATAAAGCTCCAAGAAGTATAGTCAATCTACAGAAAATGTTCATCGAGTTTCGAAAAGTTTTCCGCAAAATTGAAGAAGAATCAACCAATGAGCGGAGGAATGAAAACAATCACAAAAATCGGTTGAAAACTAGAAATTCGCGCCAAGATGCGTTTAAAATTTCGCGCCAAAAGACTGGGCGCGGCGAGATACCCTCCATGAAAAAAACCATGCGCCTTTAGGACTGTGAAGTGCGGCAATGTTGAAAAAAGGCAATCTCGGAATATTTCGGGGAAACAAAACTGTCAAGCGTTCATGTTGTTAAAAAAGCAACTCCAAACATGGGGAAAAGTATCCGAATCACAGCGACAGAAAGCGATTTCATTGGAAACAAGAGATGCATATTTTTGGGGTTTGCTTGATCTCTCAAAACATTTTAAGCATTTGTCATGATCTATAAAAATTCCGCCAAACTTCCATTTTGAAGTTCTGGGAAGAAGTTTGTTCATTGTCTTTTTCCGATAATTCTTTGTTGTTTTTCGTGCCTAAAAACCCTTGGATTTACCATTTCACTTCTATTTTCAGATGGCTGGATTCGATCGTCACATCACAATCTTCTCACCGGAAGGCCGCGTTTATCAAGTACATTGGCTGGTTACCACAAAACACTAAAATTATTTTTTTTTTTTTACAGGTCGAATATGCATTCAAAGCCATCAACACGACTAACTTGACAGCAGTTGCCGTGAAGGGAGACGATGTAGCCGTTATCGCCGTTCAAAAGCGTGTTCCTGACAGTCTCATTGTTCGCGACTCCGTCACTTCCATTTTCCGAATCTCACAGACCGTCGCGTGCTGTGCCATCGGAATTGTTCCTGATGCTAGATTCCAAGTGAAACGCGCTCAATCTGAAGCCGCTAACTTCAAGTACAAACATGGTTACGACATGCCAGTCGATCTTTTGGCCAAGAAAATGGCCGATCTCAATCAGTACTATACACAAAATGCCGAGATGCGTTGCTTGGGAGTTGGTTGGTTCTAATAATTTCTACTCCTTTTAGTTAAAAAATTGATTGCAGGACTTCTGTTCGTCGCGTTCGACGATGAAAGAGGACCAGAAGTCTACCGCGTTGATCCAGCCGGATATTTCCGAGGAATGCGTGGTGTCGCAATGGGAGTAAAGCAAGGTCCAGCAACAGTTTGTCTCGAGAAGAAGATCAAAAAGAGAGCTCAATGGGATTCGACTCATCCAGCTGAGCTTGCCATCGAAGCTCTTCAAACTTCGTTGGGAATCGACGTGCGTGCAAACGATGTGGAAGTTGTCGTGGTTGACAAAACCTCTGTTCGGACCTTGAATAATGAAGAAGTCGAACAATATCTCACTTTAATTGCCACCCGTGATTGATTTGTTCATTTGTACTTATTTTCAATTTTAAGCACTTCAGTCTGACCCTGATTTTCCCCAATTTCCCCCAATTCCTCTCCCGTTTCAAATTTTAAGTACTTTGTGATTCTGTGAATGTATGTACTAGACTTTCAGTGAGATCTCTTCATTTTTTTTCAGTTGATTTCACACGCAATCGTAAATTATTGACTTTTTTCGATTAGAAATTAAGTGATTAAATTATTGGTTGACTAGATTGATGGTGGATTTGCACTGGTTTCATTTTGCGGCTGCTGCTGTTGATAGTTGATGTTGGCCAAAGAGGTGGCTGTTGTGGTAGCCGATGGAGTTGTAGACATTCGGAGTGCCAAGTGTTTTTGATAGAATTCATCATCAGCTGGGAACGAGGCAATCGAATGTCCGAAACTGCAATTTTCGAGATTAGAATTCCTGTTCGAAATTTAGAACAACTCACTTTGCAATAGGATTGGTGAAGGAATTCGAATAAGATGGAGATGCGGTTGGGTAAGGCATCGGCCGCTGATAAGACTGATACCAGAATCCATCTCGATTCAACGCCGTCGAGTACATTCCTTGTCTCATCAATGTGTTCGCTGGATTTGCGAGGAACGAATGCTGCGGGGTAATCTGTAATCATAAGATTTGGAGATAAGTATTTACTTCAATTCGTCATTACCTTATTCAATTGCTTCTCGTGTTTTCGATGCTTAGCACGACGGTTCTGGAACCACACCTGCAAGAATAAATTGGATTAGTATGATGGTTAAGGGTTAAGGTGATGGAGTGTCGAGATTTCAATCCAGCTGGATAGCAGGAAGAGCCAGCCAGGTGTCAAAACGATTACGTAATTGGATAATCGGAGAGAGAAAGGAATGAGGGAACTACAGTAATCCCATCAGAAAGTCATTAACAAATATTTTATATATTTATATTTCGACAATACTGCAGAACAATAACCACAGGGTTTGAACTGCTGTGGTATGCTGTTGCGTTCTATTGGGAAAGTGGTGTGGCACAGTTTTAGGTAGTTAAAATTTGGAATTTCTCGCAATTTTTAGTTGATTTTCCTTCTGAAACTTCGCCACTTCAATTTCTCATTGAAGCGCAACAGCACATCGCAGCAGTTCGAACCCTGTTAGCAATAACAAAACCCCTTAAACTAAACAGTAGTCTAAACGCTCTCTCTTCCCTAAATGTTAAATCTTGACTTCCTTCCCTTTTCTTCTCCATCGAATTTCTTTGGTCATTTCCGTTCTGTGGGATACTTTTGTTCCCTTGCTAAATGTCGATAGACTCCTCCTCGTCACATCGTTATAAGAAGAAAAACGGGGAGCACCCACGGATATTGAGCATAGGCTGGCGAAGAGAAACGCATAATTCAATTTCGGACACGACGCGCCTTGTCGCCACTTCTCAACAAAGAAGACGTTGGGGAAAAGAAGGAAAGAGACGGGTTACGGTAGTTGGTGATAGAGAGAGTTTTGAACAAATATATGGAAAATTGTGGTTATTGTTATTATTGCTCTGGGTTCTTGGAAAAAGGATACCGTAGCCTGGTTGCATTCCCGAAGTGAATTAGAGAGTTAACCGTATAACCATTAACTTTGAGCAAGTTTTTCTAAGTTCCTGTCAAAGATATGAAAAAAGTAGTCAACTGATAAATTATTTATCATAGAAGCACAAACATTTTATCAGTTAACCGTTTCTTGCTATCTTGCATAGGAGCCAAGAAAAATGAGCTTAAACTTGACAGCCCATCTGTTATAGGTTTTACGGCATGTTGTATTTAAGAGAGACTCTACTGAAAAGTTTTGCTGGAATACATTTCCGAGCTAGCCGATTTTATATTTCTCAAAATGTATACTTTCCCTCAATGCTAACCTGAATTAGAAGGTTCTGGACATCCCTGCCTAGTTCATGGACCCACATTTAGGTTACTTCTATCCCCAATTATTTCTATCTGACTGATTTTCTCATCTCCTGCTCATTTTTCTCTGCTACCAGCTTTACAAGCTCAATGACTAATCCCTGCCCAGATGTGTGTTAGGACGTGGTGGATTTAGCGCACAGTAGGTGGTCAGAAGGCAACTATCCTAAGGCAGCAATTAACGAAAAGACAAGAATACGAAGTGGGAAAAAAAGAATAAGAAAGAAGAAATGAAGACAACAAATTAGAGCACATGGCACTTAGATTTGGAATGTATTGTCTATTCATGGATGGAAACTAATAAGATATGAAAACTCTTACCTGAATTCTCGCTTCATTCAGCTTGGTAATCCGTGCCAACTCCTCACGAACGTAGATATCCGGATAGTGACTCTTCTGGAATGCGGCGTCTAGCTCTTGAAGTTGTTCCTGTGTGAACGTGGTCCGATGTCTCCGCCTGGAATTGAGACGCTCTGATTCGGGCCGCTCAAGGCTATACGGCCTGCAATTTTCAGGGAAAAAGGCCGTGGAGCATTGGGGAAACATAAGAAACGATGGGTGATGGGAGGAAGAGTACGGTAGGAGAGGGAATGTAGAAAAAGTACAACATATTATATTTTCTCTAACAGAGTGTCACCAAACCGTCAATTTTGAGCTCAATTATCTCGCTTCCTGGGAAGAATATCAAAATGTTATTACCTGATAAAATGCTCATCATAATATCACTAACATTTTATCAGTCCACAAAAATTTGATATCTTTCCCAGGAACCTAGATAATTGAGCTCAAAGCTAAGGGTTTGGGTAAGCTTCTATTAGAGGAAATTCGGTAACCCAGATCAGCGTTGTCACTTTTTTGAGTTTAAAAAACTGGAAGAAACTTTTGTTTTTTGAAATTGTTTCCAGTTTTCTTAATGTCTCCAAATACATATATTCTGAATATAAATTTTAAAAACCAAAATTTTCATCTACAATGATTTTTGGCTTCGTAGGAAGTTGAGTAGCATAATCATCATAAATTTTGTTTTTTTTCTTTTTATGAAAATTTTAATATTAATTTGCTTGTTCTCTGTAGATCCACAGGATACCTTTGGCTACAGTAATCGGTTTTATCCGTCTTACTCTCCATTATAATCGGTTTAATAATTACAGAACTTGTATTAAAAATACCGTATTTTTTATCATAGAAGCCCACCTAAACCGTCAAGCTCAATTATCTGGATTCCTGTGAAAGATATCAAAATTTCGTTAACTGATAAAATATTCATTATAATTTTACCAAGATTATATCAGTTGTCAATTTGTTTTGTATCTTTAACAGGAATCGAGATAATTGAGCTTCAAATTAACGGTTTAGGTAGGCTTCTATTAAAAAATACGGTAGGTATAAAAAATAGGTGGAAGAAAAACTCTAGTGGCCATGGCCAAAGATCCTAGAATAAAATCTACAGTAGCCTAAAAATATGCTTGTTCTCCGGATTAATTTTCTTGATTTTTAGTAACTTCTCAACTGTTTTCGACTTAAAAAATCGAAAAAATATTTGGAAAATTAAAATATTTTCAGGATACGGTAGTTTTCTATCTGGGACTTTCAGCGTTTCTTTTCTACCTCTCTGATGTTCTAGATACCTACACGATACCTGTTCCTCATTCTTCTACATAATTTCCTAACAGAACTTCTTCCCCCACTCATCTACCGTAACCCATCTCTCCATCACTCCACGTTCCTATTCCACACCCGAAAAATCCCAAAGACTCACCTTGCTGGCGTATTGGTGACCCCTGCGATTGACGATCCGAAGACAGAGCCACCGATTCCTTCGGTTTTAATCTTTTTGAATGCCCCATCTGCAACATGAAGAGCTTAAAAATTGAAAGTGGAGGGATAGTCAGAAGCAGATGTTTCAAGAAGAGGAAGAATTTCGAAATTCTAAAGAAACAAGGAAACAAGACACCAACTGTTTTGTGTCTTCCCTCATTGTCTTACCGTAATAATCCATTGTTTTGATGGGAGAGTTCCTAATCTTAGAGTACTAATCGACTGACTGAAGTAGTTGGGACAAGAAGAAGTAGGAAGAAGGAGGAAGAAGAAGACACACTTCGCGCACAAAGTCAAGAAGACTACTACTCTGTCCGAGTGAGCGGGTATGGATACAATAGGAAGGATGGATAAGAGTGAGCATCTGGCAACAGGCGTCATAATTGGCTCGATGGCACATGCTCCACAGAAGTGGAGGACCAGGACGACGACGTCGGGAAACGTCGGAAGAGAGGTATCACTTGATTTCTCAGTGGGATACCTTTGATGGAAGCCGTTGCGTAAGTGTAATAAAGATACCTCTTGACATGGTAAGACATAGGAAAAGAAGATATGAATAAAGAAGAGGGGTAGGATAAGCACCTTGGAAGAAGACAGACTGAACTGGGCTGGGCGCTCGGGAGAGACATCAAATATGATTCCGCAAATCTGATATATTCTGATGCAATTTTGTTCGTTTTGCCCCGAAGCTCCCGCCTCTACCAAAAAAAGAGGAGAAGAAGATAAGACTAACCTGAAGATGGATCCGATATCGGGCGAAGACTGGCAGAGACCGTATCCAGAGAACTCGGATAGTAAGCTGTGAAGTCGTGCAGAGAGACACCAAGATCTTTCACTTTCTCTTGGAACTGAAAAGTTAACTTTTTAAGAATTATAAAATAATTTTAAGGGGGCTTCAGGAATCAGTACATACACCATCATGATAGTAATCAAAGCCTTGGGTTCCGTAGTAGCCATACTCGGAGCTTAAATCTGGTAATAAGTCAGATTCCATTTTAATAGGAAGTCAGGAAATAAACTAGAACTTCAAAGTGATAGGGTTTTTGTTTCTTGGTTGTGAGACTTTCCCACAGTGAACTTTAAAGATTTCAGGCCTAACAGTAAATGTCATCTGGGACAATTTTCTAGCTTTTCTCTCAGTCTCAGAAACCTAGAAGTTTGTTTCACTGAGTGATTTGAGATTCTATGGAAAACCGAGATGTTTTATGCAAAAAGTTTCAAGTGATATCACAGGATGGCGCATGCCGTAAACTAATAGAAGGGTTCCCTATACTTTAACTCTGATTGTGAGTCAATTTATCTCGGTTTCTGTGAAAGATATCAAAAAGTGGTCAGCTGTCAAAACGTTTATCATGATATCACCAATATTTTATCAGATTAAAAAATGTTGATATCTTTTACAGGAACCGAGATAAATTTTCTCCAAGTTGATGGGCTGGGTGGCATTCTATAAGAGTGTTTACGGTAACTACCTGGACTCAATTTTGAACTAGCAAAACTTTTGAGTGAAGTGTTGTACTGAGCATAAATATGGAGTGCAGGAATTCAAATAATTCATCAATAAGCTGGCCAAATTTCAAATTATTTGATCAACTTTGAGCTGAGTTATCGCTTGTCAAAGTTGCTCCATCTCATTAAACTCACTACAAGAAACATTACGGCGTTCATCTTTGGACAATCAAAACAACACCTAGCCTTGAGGAATCGCTTTGAAAATTTTAGTAGCTTTGAATAAAACGTAAAATTATATTTCTACCAATTTTCGTGCTTCCAAGATACTTATGTCTAAAGATATACCGGTTTTCTTAGTCCGGGTAACTGTGCGCCACCCTGTAGGCTACAGGGATATTAGGTACAAAAATCCTAGATGTTGTTGATCCGAAATTCTATGATTGCTAAATATTCAATTCTCTGGTATTTCAGGATCCAACAACCAAACGAATTCCATAGTTCAGCTAGGATCATCAAGCTAGAATCATTGATGTCTTCTACACCATATAAGGACCAATTTATCTTTTCCTGTGCTCTAACTGAATTTTCTATTTTCACATGTTTTCTTTTTATCAGTTCTATCTCTACCTGTGATACCGTACCACCAGCATCTGACTTCGTTACCGCATATTCTCGGAAAGGTGTGTCATTCCTATATGACGCTATAGCTACTATCCTAAATAGAATTATCACGAACAGTAGTAGCTGATTTCTGAATTCAGAAAATGTACGATCTAGGAAATTCGAAAAGGGAAAAAAGTTGGGGTATCAGTACCAGAACCAAAGAAACCGACTGAGATGCCTCCGGAAGACTTTGTGTGTATGTGTGTGTATGTGTGCCACTGATCGTGAGAGCATCTAACAATCAAATTTCCATAATGAATTTATGAGGGGAAGACACACACACATACTCCGGGACTCCTCCCAGTCGGTCTTCCGAAAAACGACGACAACGTCTTCAGGAGACGAGAAGAATATTGTGCGCGCCAGAAAAGTTAATTATGGAGCTCTCGGCGACGACGACAGCGGCGCCACCAAATCGTATTACTGTTTATTTCGTTTGCGTCGTCCGAGACCATTGGAGATGGCGTGCGACATACTAAATGAGAGTGATGAGATTACCTGTGAGACAGTCGATGCTCCATTCGCTCCATTCAGAAGGTTGTCACTCATTGCCGCTGTTGGGTGAGTGAATGCAGAAAAGTGTTGAAAGCACGGGGTGACCGAAGTCGTCGTCGTCGTCGTGGAGGCGGACAGGGTTGCTTCTGAAGAGGAGAGGGGGCAGCTGACTGGTGGCCGTCCGCCTCCCTCCGGCTGCTCCTCCCATTCTACCGGCCACCGTACTCAGTCTTCGGGTTTCCGTCGAAGAGCTTCCAAATATAGGTAGCCCCGCCCATTTTCATCGGATTGGTTTAGGAGCATGGTTGAGTCGGGGGACTTGATTAGATTATCTTCTCCTCTCGTCTTCTTTCTTCTTTTCTTCAGAAGCTTCACGTCTTCATCTTCTCCTTCTTCTTCTTCCACTTAACGCCCATAGACGAATTCGGCGGTGATCGGTAGGAGAAGGGACTCTATAATTGAGTTTCAGCGGGTAGGGAATGCTGCCTCCGGGTGGCGATAATCGCAATTAGGAAAGGAAATGGGAAGAAGCAGCTTGAACGTTCGGAGCAAATTGGGTTGGAAAAATGCAGTGAATTCAATTGGGAGAAAAAGGGTTTAAAAAGACAGATAATTGTGAGAACGATGAGTGGATATCAATGGAGTTCTTTCTAGGGTGAACATTTTTTGATTGTCTTTTATATTTGATTGATAGAAATTCTGAAGCATGAGAATAATGGAAACTCAATTTATGGAGTTCAGAAGTATGCGTTGCTGGCTTCCTGAAAACCAAAAATAAAAAGAACCTCACATCATTTCATTGATTAACTCTGAAAGTCTTGATAGGAATTTTTTCTTCAAGTTCTATTATCTGGAAAATTTTACGAAGAAAAAAAATGAAACAAGCGGTCTATTGAAGCCCAGTATAGAATAATTTTCAGACCTGAGCCAAAATAAAGGTTCAAACATTTCAGAAGTTCGCAAAAATTTGAAATTCAGGAAGTTCGGTAATTTTTGAATGCAAAAACTCAAAAATTCAGGAGTTCAGACAGTTCAAATCCAAAAAAAATTGTGAAAGAAATTCCATGAAATCTTTTCAAATTAGGGTACGATAGGAGTTTGAAGTTAATGTTTACAACATCAGAATCTTCTACTCAAGAGAATATTGTTGGATTCGAGCCAAAAATGTTCTCGCAAGAATTGAATTATGTGTGTTGTGATGAGATATCTGATAAGAAAATTGATTTGGTGGAATTTTAGAAAATGCAAAATTTTCCTTTGGATAATCAGTTTTCGGAATGCCCTCTGTAAGCTTGGCACTCAAATTTCGACAGTTTGACCATCCGTTTTCAAGCAATTTTCCATGATAGAAAGATCATTTGTCAACATTGATTGAGAAAAGTAATAGGAGAATGCTCAAAAAGTGGTAAAATCTAGAAAGTATCATGATAAAAGAACTTTTTTGAATTACAGTAGTTTCCGTTTTGAGATTTGTCTGCCACTACAGTAATCTTCGATAATCTACCGAAACCTTTCTCAAATCTAGGTAAGTGTAGGATCATGGATACAGAAATCTACAGTAATACTGTAGTAATTCTACAGTAATCTTTTAAACTCGTAGCTGTGAAATCAAACTCTCAGAGAATGGTTTTCAGTTTTTTTTTTTCGACAGATCTGGTAAAATTCACTAAATAGTGAACAAAAGATGGGACTCCATTTTGGCAATTGAATTTTTCAAATAAATTTTATGAAGAATAATCTAAAGTTGAAAAATGCGCAATTTTCAACCAAGTTTTACTTTCAGCTCTTGAGTCAAGTACAAACACTTTTAATTGAAATTAAAATAACTGCCGAATACAAATTTTATCAGAATCGTTGTACAAAATTGCATGGATTGTCAGAATCTTTCTTTGGTTTGACACAAAAATTCTTCTCTGTTCAAAATTCCAGAAACATATTCAGAAGTTGGAAATGTTGTGCTACATCTTTTCAGACTAAAAAAGAAATTCATGTTTCCAAACATTTTCATTTGCAGACTATCACATGCCCTCACAAACATTTCCAAAAAACACATTTTTCCCTAAAGGACCACCCAGTACTATCGGACGTCCTCTATATGCTCACATCATCATCATCGCAATCATCACTCCCTCACATTTCACACTGATTTGATTTTCACGAAAAAATTGGGGTCTTCCTTCTTTTTCCTTCTTCTTCTTCTGCAAATTCTTCTAGCTGTCATTTCATCGTCGTGTCATCGCCTTCTTTTTTCCTACTTTCTCCTCTTTTGCTCTCGTTTTTTCTTCTTTTTTTTCAGTGCCGTCAAATTCCCTGCGTTCATCGAGAAAAAATTGTCCATCCGGAGACATACTCGTTAGTCCTCCATAGTTTCTTTCGATTCCTTTTGGTTTTTTGGTGTCTTTTTTATTCCTTTTTCGCCGAGTTGTGCTTTGAGTTCACTTTTTGAAAAAGAATGGCATCGACTGGACCCAGATGGAGTCTATATCCACTGCTAGCGGTTGTGGCTGTGGTAAGTCTATACCTGACAATCATATTAGGAGCCCACCCAACTTTGAGCTCCATTATCTAATTTCTTGGGAAGGATATCAAAAAGTGGTCAACTAAGAAAGTATTGGTGACATTATGACAAATATTTATCAGTTGACAATTTTTTAGTATCTTTCATGGCAACCGAGATAATTGAGCTCAAAGTTAACTCTTTGAGTGGGCTTTTAATAAATACAGCATTTCTTTTTGTTTCAGTTTGAATTCGCTTTGGGAGGATCTCACATAGCCTATTGCTCTCCTTTATTTTTCTTTTTGTTTCCATTTATAAATGCTGCATTCGGGTTGGTAACCGCGTTTCATGCTATATTTCTGAGATATCCCAATAGGTGAGTTTTCTAAAAGTTTGAAAAATAAGACTTACAGGGGAAGTGCCCGAAGTGTCCCCTCGCTTTTTCTTAGATATGGGTATCAAAAAATGTCCCTTTTCCGGACTAGCACAAAACGGATAATATAACGGATAATATATAACGGATAATACAAAACGGATAATATAAACAGGTTGAGCAGAATGGCAAAACTTTTTGTGATTTTTCTGAAAAAGTGGGTCAAGTCCATTCAAAAAATCATAACTTTGTACAGATTGAAGATAAAACAATATACTAAATTGTATTTTGTAGAACGGATTACAGGCTACAAAACACCTAATTACACCTTTGTTCTATCTCTGCAAAGAATTTCACTATGATAGGAAATGTGCGAATGGTCCGATGGTGTGAAACCAAAAAATGTCGATTTTCCAAAAAACACCTTTGGGAGACCATGTCTATCCGATTCCTTTTATGTCATAATGCACAACTGTAGTCTCAAATATACAGCTCACCGTTCATTTAAGAGAGATTTTTGAAAAAATAAACTTTCAAATGTCAATTCCATGTACCCCTATACATGGAATTTTTTAAACGCATTTTTCCATATAAGAAGTAGCGATTTTCAAAATTTTTAATTCTCGAAGGAATAAACAAAAATGGTCCAAATTTCTGTAATTCGTCACAGAAAATACTAAACTACTGATAAATGTCATAATAGATGTGTTTTTGTCCAGAAATACTTTATTTCAACGCAATCATGAAAAATATGGTTTTAATTACATTATTTCTATTGATTTTCAATTTCGCGAAAAGTTACGTGATGCACAGAAATTGAAGGCTTCGAATTCTGGGAATTTGGAAAATTTACGTGATGCACAGAAATTGAACGTTTCAATTTCTGGGATTTTTCACAGAACTCGAACGGTTCGAGTTCTGGGATTTTGGAAATTCACGTGATTCACAAAACTCGAAGCTTTCAATTTCTTGGATTCTGGAAATGCATGGGGGGTGTAGGGATTCAAGAAGGGTCGTGATAAAGCAAAATGAATATTAGAAAACTATCGTTGGACTTGTTGTTTTCCATAAAACGGATCCTTCGAGCTTGAAGATAATTTTTTTTCCATGGGAGCTCTATGTTGGCTGAAAAACTAGTTGAAAATTCTGAGTCGCATTGGAAGGGTTGAAGTCAAAAAATTTTATTCGAAACTTAAAGAAAACGTCGAAGAAAACTGAAAAACTGACGAAGAAAACGAAGAAAACTCAGTTTTCTTTTTTCATCAATAAAAACCCGTGTTGCCAATTTTTCAAAACTTTCAAATTTTCAAAACATCACGTGGAATCTTTTATAGCTTATGAACAAAAATGTTCCACTATCTCGATCAATTTCATTTAAAAGTACTGTATGTGACAAAGGGTTTTAAGCTTTGTATTTATATTTTGACTTCAACCCTTCCAATGCGACTCAGAATTTTCAACTAGTTTTTCAGCCAACAGAGAGCTCACATCGAAAAATTATCTTCAAGCTCGAAGGATCCGTTTTATGGAAAACAACAAGTTCAACAATAGTTTCCTAATATTCATTTTGCTTTATCACGACCCTTCTTGAATCCCTACCTCCCCCCCATGCATTTCCAGAATCCAAGAAATTGAAAGCTTCGAGTTTTGTGAATCACGTGAATTTCCAAAATCCCAGAACTCGAACCGTTCGAGTTCTGTAAAAAATCCCAGAAATTGAAACGTTCAATTTCTGTGCATCACGTAAGTTTTCAAAATTCCCAGAATTCGAAGCCTTCAATTTCTGTGCATCAAGTGTTCTTTTTTATCACCGAATAAATATATATTTGTGTATCGAAAAAATTATATTACAAGTACAGGAAATACTACTCGAAAAGGCTTTATCGTTTTTTATGTAAATTTGAAAATTTTTTTCGCTCCGCAAAGAAAATACGAAATTACTGAAACTTCACAGAAATTTTGGAAATCGAAGTGATTTGGGATGAAAATTGAAAATTTTGACAATCGCTCCTTCTTATATACAACATAAACGCTCTGAGAATGAAAGATTCAGTTGGTTTGGTTATTTTTTGACAGAAAATGATCAAACCGTGATCAAGAAGTCAAACTTTTCGAAAAAAAAAAATTCGCATGTTAAAAAATACCATGTATACATGGAATTGACATTTGAAAGTTTATTTTTTCAAAAATCTCTCTTAAATGAACGGTGAGCTGTATATTTGAGACTACAGTTGTGCATTATGACATAAAAGGAATCGGATAGACATGGTCTCCCAAAGGTGTTTTTTCGAAAATCGACATTTTTTGGTTTCACACCATCGGACCATTCGCACATTTCCTATCATAGTGAAATTCTTTGCAGAGATAGAACAAAGGTGTAATTAAATGTTTTGTAGCCTGTAATCCGTGCTACAAAATACAGTTTAGTATATTGTTTTATCTTCAATCTGTACAAAGTTATGATTTTTTCAATGGACTTGACCCACTTTTTCAGAAAAATCACAAAAAGTTTTGCCATTCTGCTCACACTGCCTATGGCACCTTATATTATCCGTTTTGTGCTAGTCCAGCGACGGGACGTTTTTTGCCACCAACATCTAAGAAAAGGCGAAATTTCAATTCGGGTACTTCCCCTGTTAAAAATTTTCAGATGTGATTTTTATCTTCAACTAACATGCACTTCAATCGGGTTATTTTTCTTCTTCTCTTCTCTAATGGAGTCGTACTGTATCAATGAGTTCAAATGTAAGTGTTCATATAGGAAAATATAGCCTAAAATATTTTTTTCAGATAATGATGAAACTATAAAAGATGGAGTTTGTCATGGGTTGAAGTATCGTACAATTGCGTTGGTTGGGTCTTGCAACGATTTACTTGCAAATTTGCAACTTTCGATTTTGGATAAATTTGGATGGGAACCAAAGGTGACTAGAACTTCAAATAGAGGGTGGCGCTCCGGACTAAAGTTTGTACTAGCATAAAAATTGAGTGAAGCGTTGTACTGAGCTCAAATTTGAAATACAAAAATTCAAGATATTCATCAGTAAACTGGCCAAATTTCAAATTATTAGATCAATTTTGAGCTGAGTTATCGCTTGTCAAAGTTGCTTCATCTCATGAAAATTACGAAAATTCTGAAAATTTATCAGTAAATTGGCCAAGTTTCGAATTATTTTATCAACCTTGAGTTGAGATATCGCTTGTCATGGTTGGTTCATCTTATGGAAATCACAAAAGTTCATCTTTGGACAATCAAAACAACACCTAGCCTTGAGGAATCGCCTTGAAAATTTCAGTAGCTTTGAATTAAACGTAAAGTTATATTTCGACCAATTTTCGTGCTTGTAGGATACTTATGTCTAAAGCTACAACCGTTTTTATCCGTCCGGGTAATCATTTACCACTCTGTGTAGCTCATTTTCTGAAATTGTCCTGTAAACACAACATTTTTCAGGAAAGAGATTGGATTCGATTGTTCACCTCGATTTCTCTGTCTGTTCTTTCTGGAATTCAACTTCTCATCTGCACCATTCTAACATTTTACAGTGCCATTGAAACTAAGTAAATCGTTTCATTTTTTATTCCATCGCCATGATTCTCTTATTCAGAATCCGTCTATACTCGTACCATTACCAAGTCGTCATATCAGTGTTGCTGATAATGATTTCGTTTTTCCATCTTCGATATTGCTGTACTTTCTTCTTTCTGCATCTTCCACTTGCCATTGGGTTGTTCTCCCTGCTTCAGGGAATTGTGTCATGGAGAACCAAGTGTCATGGATCAACCACTCGAGCATTGAACATCGTTGGAGCTGCGTTCGCAGTAATTCTGAATGCTACAACGAGTTTCGGAATTTTCTGCTGGTTCAATAGAAATACAGTACCCCATATGATAACAAGACATTGCCATTGGTTGTCCCACCGGGAAGCATACTGTATGAGAGTTGTGCATTTCACGCATCCCTATATCGACTGGTTGCCACAAGAAACAGAAAGAGAAATTGCTGCGATTCAAGTCAGTTTTCATTCCCCCTAAATATTTTCCCTTATCAAACCAAAAAGTTTCAGATCACAGTCCACACCCTTCTATTCATCTTTTCTTGCATTCAATTTGCCATTTCAATGCGATCAGCATTCTCGACTAAAAAACAATACTTGTATTATTGATTTTTTCAATAAAAAATGTTCTTCTTTATTTTTACATAACCGAGAGTATATGAGAAAGTAGTAGGAAAAGTGGAATGATTAATCAAAGTATTCACTTCTTCTTTGGATCACGAACAGTGGTGAACTGAATCGACATTTCTCCGATTTCAACAGCCTCCATCGCTTTGTCATCAAAGTCGACCCATTCCTTTTCGGAAAGATCAATTTCACGGAACGCTTTTCCAGTGTCGACACTATTGGCAATCCAATCATCCTGGAATTTTGAATTGATTTAGAGAAAACTGTAACCCTTAGTATCTTCTAACCCTTGGATCGAAATCAAATGGCTCAATTCCACGGCAATCGAAGATAGCAATCTGCTGCCATTCCTCGTTTTTCTCAATGTTGTAGCTCTTGAACAGATCCGGAAGGATTGCTAAAAAATTGATTTTTTGGAATTATTTTGAAATTCGTTAAACAACTCAAAGTGTTGACTCTTCCACACAGCTTGCACTTCTCCACAAGATTCGCTTCGCCACGACTTCCGGGAACTTCGAGCATTTCCTAAAAATAGAACATCTCTTTTCAGTTTTTGGTCGAGATTCCAGAAGAATTTCTAGAAGAATTCCCTTACATTGAGCACCACGTATTGCCAGTGATCTGGCGCCTCTCCGCAGTTGGTGCATTTCAATTTCAGATGCCAATGGAAAGAATCAGTGTTTTCCGGACGTAGCTCGGTGACTCCTTTCAGCTGACATTTCAACTCAAGAGCAAGAAACGGCTGGAACAGAGTCTATATAGCCCTAATTATTGAGTTGTTTAGTATTTATAAATAGGCAAAGTCAACGCTAATTATTATCTGCGCGCGAAGGAAGAAAGTTGGGAGCATACATGCCTTCTTCCGCTCTAATTGGTATTCCTTACCATTTTGTACGCGCAGATGGTCCTCCGGTCACCTAAACAACACACTTTAGAAAAGAAGAAGAAGTGCGAGAGGAATAAAAAAGAGAAGACATTCCCTCAGGGACTTCCCATAGAAAAGGAGAAAACGAGCAGTTTTTTTCAAGTTTACAAATATAAACATTTCAAGTAATCAGATCATTGTTGAGAACTGAATGCAGTAGAAAAATACGAGAGAAGTGGTACATATTATTTAGAATCAGAATAAATGAATTCCAGCTTGAGATTCTCGTTCTGGAGACTTCTTATTTCAGACGTTTCGAAGTTTGTGACGATTGATGAGGAACAGAACGAGTAGATGGAGTTGGTGGTGCTGGTTGGGATCGTGTGCCATCGCACTGTTTCATTTTGGTGGAGACTGAAATCTTTTACAAAAATTGTTACCTAATTTTAGAAAACTGTTACATACGTCGTGTTTCTTCTTGATTGCTGCTTTTGGGTCAGTGAGTTTTTTGATCCAATCCTCGCCTTGTTGCTCACTGAGAGTCTTCGCTGGAGATGGACGTGGTGCTCTACCTGGACGCTCCTTTTTCTTATGTTCTCTGGGTGGCTTTGGATTCTCAGCAGCATCCCCTCGACCTTCCCGCTCTTCTTGTTGTTTTTTCTTTCTGTCTTCGAGGAATCGTTGCTTCCGAAGTGCATTTCGTTCTTTCTTTTTCGCTTCAATCTTCTCCAATTTTTCTCTTTCCCTATCAGTCATTTCTTTATTCTCTTTTCTCGGCGGACCACCTGATGTAGACGCAGTAGAAGCAGCAACAGTTGGTTTCATCAGAACATCCAGAACGTTTTTCTGCTTTTCTGCCTTCCTGAAATCACGACGCTGCTTGCGAGCTTCGCCTTCGCGACGTCTGCCGGTTTCTTTTTCTAGGAAGTACTTCACAAGCGGGGTCTCCAGATGGTCGATTTCTGAATCATAAAACAGGTTAGTACTGTAACTTATGATTAAAAATTTTACGAGTTCTGATGTCTTCCGGTTGATTGAGCTTTCTAATTTGTTGCTCCAGAGTCATAATCGGAATCGACTTCTCCTTTTCCAATTTTTTACAAAACTCCAAATAGTAGGTATCAGTGAGAATGGCACCAACGCGAGAGTCTTCCTTGATTCGTGGGCGATCACACTTGGCAAAGTTCTGGTTGACACTTGCCTCGACAACTGCAGTCGAATCATTTCCACGGGAATCGACAAAGATGTAGCCGTCAAAACGACGCTCAAAGTCCATCATTGAGTCACAGTACTCGGAGAAGAGAAGGATTAGCGTTGCATAGGCAGCATGATCGAATCTGAAAAATTTTTAACTGAAATCACGGAAACCGGATTTCATAGCGTACGCGAGATTGGCTGGAAGAAAGTATGTATCGATGACTTCTTCTGGTAGAGGACTAATTTGTTCAAGAACCTCCTTTTCCGTCATATACTTTGGCAGACGGCGAAGCGCAACTTTCACTTGGTCCGGTGATTCGCGTTTTTCAGAGCGAGAACTCATCCTGAATATGATATGAGTTGCAGATTAAAGATAAAAATTACAGATTAAAAATAAGTTTGGAAAGTATTAAAATAGTTCCAAAAACAATTTGAGTAAAATACGAAGTAAGAGAGATATCAAAGTAAACTAATTTATTCAGCAATTTATACTTTCTTTCTAAGATGATCAAACTTTTTTCGAAATCGTCCGATTTCTGATTCACTCATAACAACGTCAAAGATCAAGTTATTGCCATCTGCGACGGGTTCCACGACAACGAATTCATTATGATAGAGCCATTCGATGACTGGAGAACGGACATCCAGTCGGAAACGAATCGTTTTACATTTCGTGGCGATGGTGACTTTCTGATTGATCCGATCAATAAGATCCTGCATTCCATCGCCAGTTTTGCAAGAAATACGAATGGACTTGGTGGTCGCGTCCGCTATATTTTCAACTCCTTCTTTGTCAATCTGAAAAACAAATATTAATTCTGGAATATTCGGGAAAAGAACTTTTTAAATACGAACTTTATTATCTACAGTAATCATCCGTTCCGTGAGCACATTCTCGGCAACTCCAATCGATTTGAGTGTTGCCACGACGTCTTCTTCTTGAGCCTTCCAGTCTGGATTGGAAACATCTCTCAAATGAATTATTACGTCCTGAAATACTTGATTTCCTGCATTTCATGGGCCAGGGAGGAGTTTTTTCCGGATTGAAAAAGCTCACAGTGATTTTAGCGATTTTTTGAACAATGTTCGACTGAATTCAAATATAGCCCCCACCCCATTTAAAGTATAGCCCCCCAAAATGAACCATAGTAGAGTCCCTCTTTGATTTTTTCGGAATTTGTGTCATTTTTCACCATTTTTCCTTGTTTCTTGGGAACTTTTTCTGAAAAATACTTTTCAGCTATGTATATCTTATCAGATCTTCCAAAATTAAAACATTCTAAAATTCAGGCTTAGGCCAAAAAATGGTGGAGACCTATTTTTGAATTGGTGGGGGTCTAAAATTGAATTGGTGGGGGTCTAAAATTGAATGGGTGGGGGGGGGGGTCATTTTTGAATTGAGTGGGGGGCTCAGATAAGTTTCCCTTTTTGGGGGGCTATTTTTGAATGGTTGGGGGCTTTTAATTGAAAAAGCAGGGAGGGGTGGGAGCCATATTTAAAAAATACCAGGTTCTTCAACTATAGGCCCCCACTTTGTACTGGTGGGGGGGGGGGGGGTCATACTTTAATCAACCAATTCAACTTCAGCCCCCCACACCTCAGTAGAGCCCCCCACCCATTTTTGTACTGGTGGGGGGGGGGGCTCTACTATAGTTTTTAGGTGGGGGTCATGTTGAGGTGGGGGGCTATATTTGAATTATACCCAATGTTCTAACTCTTTTTTTTCAGATTTTTTATCATACTCACCGCAGATTTGACATGGGCCAATGTTGCTTCAAAAGCAGAAATAAGATGCATCGGGAGATCACTCAAAAATCCGATAGTGTCTGTGAACACTGCAGATCGCCCAGAAGGTAACTTTGCGACATGTCGTGTCGTATCCAAAGTGGCGAACAATTGATTTTTCGGTGTCAGAGAACTCGCACCCGTCAGTCTCTTGACCAGACTCGTTTTCCCAGCATTTGTATACCCAACAACCGCAACCACGGCATCTGACGAATTCTTTGATTTAATTGATTCCGAGCTCTTCCTAGTTAATTCCTTCAAATCCCTTCGTAAATCTTGTTCTCTTTTTCGAAGAATCTCATTCAAATCTCCCTCCACCTCGGCATACTGTTGTTCGATGTGCAAAATTTCAGGTCTAGAATGAAGCCGTTTCGATGATAATGCGTGAATCCGATTTTTGATATATGGAATTTCGGCAAGAGCGATTTGAAGTTGAGCTTCATCCGTTTGTGCAAACTCTTTGAATGTTGATAGTACAATATTATAGCGATCGAAGATCGGAACTTCGAAGATTCTGAAGAGCTCCTCCTGCTGCGATGGGCTCAAAACGTCGACATTGATCATCAAAGCAGTAGCTCGAGCTGCTTCACGTCTGGTAACGAGCTTCTCCAAGTTACCAGCAGCCCAGATGGATTTTCGTTTTGTGTTGTAGTCTACCGGCATAATAAGACTACTGAAACCTTATGGATGAACTAGTACAGAAAATAGGACAACTGACTCAACGGCAATCATATTGGGTAGGTTGTTGACAAGAGCTACGGCTTCTTCTAATTGTCTATCAGCCTGTTTGAGCACGGACGCTGAACCAGACCCCCATCGAACTTTCGGATGTACTACCAGCACAGACCATCTGTCATTTGCGAATTTTGATGATGTCGTTGCTACATCAGGTCTGAAAATTATGTTGTTTTCGTTTTAATTATGGAACTGAAATCAGCTCACCTACCGATACTGAAGCTCCGAAAAGAAATCAATCGTGTAATCCGCCGAAAAATCATTCTAAACAAGCGTAAGATTTCGTTGACTGTTTGCCTGAATATGAATAAAGATATTATTTTCTGGACAACAAACAACCATATCCATTCAAAAATTGTGAATTTTCATAATCCATCTTTAAAAAAAACGAATAAAACCGAGTATAGAATTGCGATGAGCTCTCGGGAAAGAAAATATGTACGATAAAATACACAATCGCCCAAATATTATAAAAAGAGAGATGTAATAAATAGAAGCACCCGGAAAAACATAAGTTAGGATATGAATAACAGGACAAAAATTTGAACACAGTAAACATTTTGGGCGATATTTGAGATATTTCGACCACACCCGAATAATTGATAAGGTCAATTACAAAAGCGACTAGAAGAAACAAGAAATGATTACAAGCACACAATGAAGGAAATCGATATGAACATCTCAGAATGGTATAGCTAAAATAAAAATGAATAAAAATATGGATAGATTCAATTATGAATGACTATTTCTGCTTATGAACTCTAGCCAGGAGCTTCTCAGCCAGCAGACCATCCACCGGTTTTTTCTGTCTGCTATTGTTGCTACTGCTACTGCTTGCTCGAGAAGTGTCATCATCAGAACTTTCCACTGTTGTCGAGGAACTTGTGCTGTTTTTGTCGCTCTCTTTTCTCTGGGATAGATTTACATCACTGGAAGCTCGTAACCTTGTACCCTACCGTTTCCGTTCTGTCTCCTTTAATAGGAGCATACATTTTCCCTTTGGGATGTGGAACAAGTGTCACACTAGAAGGAGTTATTGGGCCCGAGCTGTGTGTTGAATTTGCCGGCGACTGTGAAGTAGATCGTACTTTATTCTCTTTAGACGGATGATCAAGTTGATACATATGGTAAGAACGGTCGCAGTTGATGAGAATTGATGATACTGTAATTTTCTTCAATTAATCTTTTTCGATACTCCTCGAAAACTTACATCTAGCCAAATGTCCGATTGGAGCGATGAAATGAGTAGCAACCGGACGATCTTCTCCACCATCTGATATTTTGTTGTTTGTCGTGGGTGGTGATTTCTGCAATTTGCCACATTCAGTCCAAAAGATCCCGCATGTCACAACCTTTAATCGGTCTCCTTTCGGAGAAGAAGTTCTCGACGAGTCCCTTGAACCTCCACCAGCCTGTCGAAGATCCGACGAAGAGGACGTGGTATTTTTCTTCGGAATCTTGAATGGAAGCGGTTTGGTTTCTGAAGTAATTGTCTGATCAGCTTTTCGTTTCGCTCCTCCGCCAGCAGCAGACGAATCAAGATGCTCAGACTGTTTCATCACACCAGCTGCATGCGAAGTCCGCATGGTGTTCAAAACGTGTTGTGGATGTTGTTCTGCACTTGCATACGACGAAGATGATTGACCCAAATGCTTCGATCTATCTCGATCCTCCTTCTCTTTTTTATCCTTCGTCCGTTGCTTCTCCTTCTCTCTTTCCTCAGCCTTTTCTCGCTCCTTTCGTTCTTTTCGTTTTTTATCCTTATCATCATCTCGTTCAGTAGTACGAGAACCTGGTGTCGATTCTCTCTCATCCTGAACTTTCGAACGATGATCTCGATGGTGCGAAGAAGAGAAAGAAGAAGAGGGCCTATCATGCAAATCACTTCTCTCATCTCTGTGCCGATCACGCTCTTGCTTCTTCAAAAGGAAACACACGAAATCAAGGCAAACAAAGGGGACAATAGGGATAGTCAAAAAATGAAAAGATAGCTAAATGCATGCTCTTACCTCATAACTTCGACTCTTATCTTTCTCTTTCTCTTTTTCACGCTCTCGATGCCGTCTACTTTCATGTGATCTCTGACTTTGTGGCGATGCACTTCTTCTCGATTTTTTTCCCGATCTGGAACTAATTCAGAAGTATTTATGATAGTCGATGTCTCTGATCTCTCTCTATGATACCCCGTATCAGAAGTTTGACTCCTATCCCGCTCCTTATGTATTTTCACTTCACTTTTTGAGGTTGATAGGTTGACTCCTTTACTGGGAATGTAATAATCATCTTTACGACTTGAACGAGCGCTGTAAGGAGATATTCAATTCTAAATCTCGTATACCAACTACTTACACTGACGCTTCAGAAGTTGACGGTTGTGATGAGACACTTTGGTGAGAAACCATGTAAGAGGCTCTGGGTACTGGGCTTAGAAGTTCTTCCGGAGGTGTTGCGTACTGCGCAGCGCGATTCTCGATTGGGATTTCCTCTGTTTCGACAATCTCTTCGCGAACAACACCAGACTCCATAAACATGTCGTTATCGATAAGCTCCTCGTTGAAAATCTCTTCCAGCATTTGCTGATCATCCTGTTCCATTCTAGTCAATGCGAATGGAGGTGGATTGTAATCCATAGCATTGAGAAAACCATAATTGAGCTATAATAATATTTATCGATAATGGTTATAAAAAACGAAAATTGCCACTTACATTGACAAAATCATCGAGCTGATAGTTCGGATCATTGATGTAGTCTGCAATGGCATTCACCGAGTTTCCTAATCGAACGTTGTAATTCTGCGGATGATTGAGCTTTCGTCGTGATCTGTGCACCTCTCCATCTGCCTCCTGGGAATGTTCCATTGGTTCCGTATGTTCTGGAGCTCCTTGCAACATATTTTGGTCCTGTAGTTGACCTTGTTCTTGCACTGGAGTTGGCATTTTCTGTAGCTGACTTTGAGAATTCGAAGCAATTGAAACCGATCTCTCTCTCATTTGTTGTTCCTGTCTATAACGCTCCTCTGCGATTTGGTTGACTTGTTGAAGGCGCATTTGAGAAACAGCCTGTGGAGCTGGGCCCAGTGAATAATTTTGAGGCTGTTGGAGTCTCGAATACGATTGACGTCCATAAAGTTGTTGATGTAAGCGACTAGTATTTGTAGATCCGAAATAGTTCACAAGAGTTTGGAATCGATTGTTCAAACGGTTAAGATCGCCACCGAAATCCATCAGTCGATCGTGTAACCCAAAAGAACCATCCCGATTGAACATTTGAACGATTTCTTCGAGATTTCGATCGTGCATACGATCATTCAAAACGATGACTTGTTGAGGTCTGTCGGTATCTGGACGAGTAACTGAGTTTTGTAAATGTTCAGAATCTTGTTGAAGAGCAGCAGCTGCCGAGTTGAACTAAAATTAAAATAGAAATATTTAATTTTCTGAATTTTAACTCACTCCATTTCGTAAAAGATATCCATAAATCAACGAATGAAGTCGTTCTCCAAATACTTGATTCTCCTCCACCTGCTGATTTTGCTGTTGTTGAGATCTCGCTTGTGCCGCCGCATGCCGATTCCCTCTTCTTCCTCCTGTTGTTCCTGACTGTTCATCCGTCTGCATCGGCAAAAACCAGCGCTCTCTGAAGTGTCATTTTCCAGAATCAAGCCAAGAATGATATCAAGGAAAGTAATTGAACATCGAAATCAGAGATTTACGAATTGCATATTCCATCTAAAGTTGAGCAGACTTAAAAAATTTATTAAATTAAAAAGGAACCGAAACTTGGAGAATCTAAAATTATAATAACAAGAGACCTAATAAAAGTGGATACACTGCTGAAATATTCTACTAACAACAAAGTGACAAAACTGTACAGAAACGTGCTAAATACTAAGAAAAAAGAAGCTAAAAACCGGGAGGATACCAGTCGATCTCCTGGATGATCGTGCGCTTCTCATAGGCTTCCACCTGATCGTCTTCTTTGAAACGAATGTTTTTATCGGAAAGCGCCAGACCGACTTCAGTGTTCGTTTTTGCATTCGATACCACTTCCATCCCTGCTTTCATTGTTTCGATCTCTCCCTCATAAATGACTTGATTTCCACGGGTGAATTTGTAGACACAATTTCTGAAAAACGCCATTTTCTTCGCAATAAGAATATTGAAGCTCACCTATCGAAATTTCCCCAATTCACAAGTGTTCCAGCAATCGGTTGTCGTTTTCTTCCTCTATCCGAAATCATAAACTCCTTAAGCACATGTCCCTCTCCAACTAGATGAAGTTCAGTTTGCTTGGGCAAACGAGCCGACAGTTCTCCTTTCAGAGCTTCGACCATTCTATAGATCACATTGAACGAGTCGATTTGAATTCCGGCTGCATCGGCGCGTTGTTTCATTTTCGCCGGAGTCTCCACGTTGAATGTATAGAGTGTGGCGCCGGTCTCTTTTGCCAGCTCGATGTCTTTTTCGGTTGGCGGGCCGACCTCGAAATCAACCAATTGTAGCTTGCACTGCTCACTTTTGTAGGTATTCAAGATCTCGAGAATCGCTTCAAGAGTTCCTTCGACGTCAGTTCGAATCTATATAAAACTATTTTAATTCTGTCCCGGACCTCCACCCCCGACTCTAAACGACTCACAATAAGACGGAACTTCGGTGATCCATCTTCCACATCTTTCTCAATTCGTTGATTTCTATGAACAATGTTCCTGAGCGTTGAACCAAAGCGCTGTCCTCGATCCAGCAATTTCTGCCGGTTGCTAAGGTACGTTTCTCTTGCTTTGTCTCTCTGATCCCTCGTTTCTTCCCAATCTTTGTCGGCTTTCTCACGCATTACTTTATCGATTCTGAGATTCACCACTTTTTGCGCACGATCGACTGTTTCCGCCTCGAGAACAAGATCTCCAGGAGTTGGAAGATCGTCTTTCCAACCGGAAACACGTACTGGTTGCGATGGCGTCGCTTCCATCACAATTTTTCCGTTCTCATCGTGCATTGTTTTCACACGACACCAAGAATTTCCAGCTACTAGGATACACCCTTTCTTCAGTGTTCCTCGAGATACAACCAGTGTGCAAACCTTTCCAATTCCATGAACAACCGATGATTCAATGACGACAGCCTCAGATTTTCCATTTTTCGTGGCTTTGAGATCCATTACATCTGCTTGTAAAAGGAGAGCATCTTGAAGAGCTGGTAGATTTCTTGACTGCAACGCTGAGACTTCTACACATTGAATATCTCCTCCGAGTTGTTCAACGACGACATCATGTTCTAGTAGAGATCTCATAGCTCTCATTGGATCAGCATTCGGCTTGTCGATCTTGTTGACTGCCACTACAAGCTGAACATTGGCGTCTTTTGCAAATTTGATCGATTGTGCAGTCTGCTCTTTGACTCCATCATCGGCAGCCACCACAAGAACCACGATGTCCGCGCCTTTCGCTCCACGAGCTCTCATTGAGGCGAATGCAGCATGTCCCGGTGTGTCCAGGAACGTCACCCGTCTTCCTTTTGTTAACTCCACAGAGAATGCTCCAATGTGTTGTGTGATTCCACCGAATTCTCCTGCTGCGATCTGCGAATTACGTAGGGCATCTAGCAGTGTTGTTTTTCCATGATCAACGTGCCCCATGATGGTGACGATTGGAGGTCGTCGTTCCAAATCTTTCGGAGATGCGTCTGGTTGTGGACGAAGGTCTGCATCTTCTTGCTCGACTCTTTTCGGCGGTCCATTCACAAAACGTGGCTTAAAGGAGAGTGCAGCTGCTGTCTGAAAATTTAGTAATTCGAAAGGTTTTAATCGAGTTCTTACCTGCAAAATTGAAACATCATCAAGCGAGGAGTCTGCGATGATCGCATCAACGTTGCGTCGATCGATGTTCTCTAGAATTTCGGTAATCTCGCTCAAATCCACGGAAAGTGCAGAAGCGAGATCTCTGTTAAAAGTACATGTTCATATGAAATTCGAATAAAGCCGGAAGCCGGCAGGCGGAGGATGAGAGAAAAGGCGCGGCGATGACTAGGGAGATGACCTACATTTGATGACAGTCTTAGGACTTATGAGTGAATTCCCGTTGAAAATGGCGTTTTTTTAACTTACGATGGGCTCATTGTTTTCCAAACATCAACTGTCTGTTTGGTGCTTTTTGTGCTCTTCACGATGGCGGCTTCAACGAATTTACGTTTTCCTCGTTTGCCTTCTGATGCGAATTGTTTCGCTTCAATCCATGAGTTCTGGACTGAATAGTGATAATTTTTATTGTGAAAAACGGGATTTTTTGTTGTACTTTAATGCTGATTCTGGTTTTCATTACCTGTCGGCCGCCTGAGTAGCTGGCGACATGAAGAACTTGTCAAGAGCTTGATGATAATCTTGTTCGACATGTTGTTCGATACATTCCCCGTACTCTATACAAGATCTTCAAAACTTAAGTTAAGAAAATTTCCCTGATCCTAACACCAAGTACATTCCGAAGAGCTTCCGACATTTCATTTTGATGCCCCACAATCAGTGACCGAAAGTAAGCTTTATTTTGGAAAACAACAGTGTGGAGCATTGAATCAATAAAAAGGGGGCTATAACAGGGATATGTTATGAAGTGCGGGGCGATAGAAAACACTACATGATCCAAATGTTCCGGGTCCTTGAAAAGCATGAAAGGGTGAGAGAGAAAGTTGGGAAGGGAAGTTACGGTGAAACAAAAGATACACAAAACAACGAGCGATCATGAAAAAATGAACGCGGAAAAAACAACAACAATCTAACGATTGAGGGGGATTGATTAAAGATGTAAAGTGAAGCAGTTGAACAGCTGCATTCTAGGAATCATTAGAAAATTAAGCCAATAGAAAGAAAGGATAGAAGAATGAAACAGGCGCAAAAGTCAGAACATTCTAGTGTCCTAAAATGTCTGACTTTCACTAGATACTATGTATAATTGAAGATAAGTGAGAGAGAAGAAGAGCTTTTTCTTTCGGCTTGATGAGGTAGAGAGTAATTACATGAGAGCGTTGAGGTCGTCTTCGTCGAGTTCGGATAGTTCAGGAAGATCTTCGGCAATGACCTGAAAAATAATCATGAGGAATTCACATGTATTCAATTCACTTACTCCTTCGACGGTATTATTCTTGCTCTCAAGAACGAGCTTGGCAAGGCGCTCCTCGCTCTCTCCTTCATCATCACTGCTGCAAGTGATCTCACTTTCTTCGAGAATCGATTCGAGCATCCACAAGAAGTGATCGTTACCAAATATTGGCACCAGATTCTCCTCGGTATCCCAAACGGAAGAGTCGGGAAGGTGCTGAAAAAAAGTTTCCTTTTTTGTAAAAAAAATGACAATAGTGACTTACGGTAAGTGGTTTATGCTCCAGAACGTGTTTTTGAAGAGCAAGTGGATTCTCAAACTCGGTCTTTTGGCACACCCAGCAATCCGCATGGTAGTTCTGCTTACGGATATAGTTGATAAGGCGAAGACGCTGGTAGCTGTTCAGCTTATTTTCTTCGAAGTTCTTAAGAAGGTCAAACTCGTGTGTGGTCTTCATGTGATCCAAGAGCGATTGAGCGTTGTCTTCGCTTGCATCACAGAGAAGGCAAACGACGCGGGTCTCATCAGCGTCAAGATTGTCCTCTTGCCACTCACACCATTCGTTGCTGAAAACAAAAATTATCACGATGAAAAGAAATAGACGGGTACTCACTCTTCCTCTTCTTCATCAGAATCTTGGAACGTCGGCATAGTATCCTCGAAGTCCTCCGCGAGTACATCGAGCCAGCGTTTGCCGAGTTCGAGATAGTTGATGATGTAGAACTTGTCGTAGTAGTGGTTTTTCGGATTCACCTCACGATGATTTCTTTTGCGCATATGGTCCATGAGAGTATTGCGATCTGGGAAGATCTTCTCACAGTAAATGCACTCGTTGCGGTGAAGCTTTTCTTTTAGATGCTCGATGTACTCAGTCACGAAAACCAGGTTATCCGGAGATCCAAGGTTCAGGTGATGGATCATATACAGATGATGGATGATCTTCGAACGATTCCCACGAGCATTGTAACGGCAGAAGATGCATTGAAGTTGGAATGATGTATCTTCTCGCTCACGTTGTTGGCACTGTAGAGCTTCTTCGAGACGACGCATAGCAAGTCGTTGTCTGAGCGAACGGTCTTCGGCGATGTTTTCCGACATAAGGTAGTAGTAGTCGGTCTGTCCGAAGTACGCATCCCCTTCAGCTGGCTCTATTCTTGGGAAGATGTTATCGATGCTCTCCTTGGCGAAACGTTGACGCCAATGCTCGATGTAGCGTTTTGGATCGACAATCAGATTCATCTCCGAAACCACTATTTTGTGCTCTTTGAGAAGATGTTCCGCAAATCCAGTGACTTGTTCAGGAAGGTCGAAGAACTCCAAGCAGCTGACACACATTGTCGGCCCACCCCAACGTGGAGAGTATCCAACAAGAGGAACAGTTCCAGACAAAGTGCGGATTCTTCCACGAGCGACTGCCAAGCTCATTTTCTCTGGCTTCTTTGGACGGGTGTCGTCGTCATCGGAATCCGAAAATGGCTCTTCCAGTTCATCTGAATTCGATTTTTTTTTAATTTTGAGAGAAAAAACTGGAAGCTTACATTCGTCACTGTAGTCGAGTCCTTCTCCGTTGCTTGCTTGTGACATGGTTCTTGTTGAGTCACGAGCATTACGCTTGGCGGATTGAGCTGAAACTTGCAGGATATTTAGGTGTTAATGTTTAAAAAAAACGTACAGTTAGAGCTTCTGGTTCTCTTGTGCTCATCTCCTGGTGATTTGTTCTTGTTTCCGCCTTGACTAATGCTCTTTCTTTCGCTCCAGTCCTTGCGGTTGGAGTGGTTCTTCGAGTTGCTCACACTGTTGTTACGGCTTCCATTTCTGGAATCAGAACCATCTCCCTTGGTGTTTGAGCGTCTTCTTGGGCGATTGTTCTGAAAAATCGGCGATTTCGTTGAAACTTTTTTATCAATTACCTTGCTGCCACCAGATGTTTCGGTGTCAGACTTCTTGTTAGCGTTAGCAGGGCTACCACCTGCCACGTTCTCTTTCTTCGAAAGATCGGGGGTGTTTCCACCACCGCTATCCGAAGTGGACATGGTGTAGCGTGGGGGCCAAATTTAAGGATTCGTTCTCCTGGCAAGAAAAACGAGCTCCTGAAAACTTATTTGGGAATTAATACGGAAGTTAAATGCGATAGTAGAAGATATATCAACGAAACGCTCAATTTTGCTGACTTTTCTATGCTAAAATTGTTGTTTCTGCATAAATAAGGGGGTCAGCTAGGTTGAAAATATTGTTTTCGAGATCGGACTATGCCGAAAAACATGAAAACGGAAAGAGAACAACAGAAAAACAAGGAAATCTGCCGGTTGGCACAAAATTTAGGAGACACGACGACAATTTTCATGTGCACACCAGTTGGCGCGACTTTCGTGTCGCAGGCGCCGCGTCAGTGCGCGACCCTCCGTCTCGAGCGTTAGACAACTGGAAACAACACTCTCTCGCTGATCACCTGTCCTAGTCACGTTTTTCAACGGGCCCGTTTCAATTCAACAATGTTTAGATGTCACATGGTGTCTCGAGACAGTTGGTAGTCAGATACAGAGAAAAGTGCAAACAAACAAGACTGACCGAAAACCATCGCTGATATTTTAAAGCTCAGATTGGAGAAGAGCGCTTTCAGTTCACTAAAAATATTGGCAAAGTTCGTCAGCTAAATAGTGAATCGCAAAAAAAACAAAACAAAAAATTTTTACTGTCGGTGATATCGTGCCGGGACCCTACTTCCTCGCGGAATGACCCTTTAAATAGTTACTGTATAATTTTAAAGGAACATACTCGGAGGATGAAAGGTATCAACACGATATCCTCTGGTAATCGGTTTCTAACCAGTTGCGGGGAATTTTCCAACCAGATCCGTTATTGTCGGATTAAAAAAAGTGACACCTGAAAATCTCGGAGACGACGCTCGTGTCGATTTACGAGGGGGCGGAGCGAAAACGGATACTGTAGATAACACATTTATTTATGTGAATTTAGTGGGATTTTCTGAACAAAATTTTGACTTCTTGGTATAAAAATGATCGCTAGCATCTCTAGAATCTATTTTTCAGCAAAAAACTAAATTTAAACGCGAAAGTAGCTCGAACGAGCCAAAAATCTGAAAAATTACGTTTTTGCCGCGCTTTTTCGTAGATCAAAAAAAGCAAAAGTTTTCAAATTCTCAGGTCCCAGTTTTTTGAATTTGACAATAACGCGCATTTGCCAACCAGATTCGAGTAAAATTCCAACCAGATTCGGAAACTTTTTATTTTCCGACCAGATCTGGTGATTTTCTGACCAGATCCGACAGAAAAAGCTAATTTTCCAACCTGATTCAGACAATTTTCTAACCAGATCTAGCCATTTCTGCTCCGGAATTTTCCCGAATCTGGTTGGAACCCGATTACCAGAGTCATGAAATTACAATAAAGTAAAAACAAATATTTTGCTGTTTTTGGTTGCAAGAAGAAAAGAATGGAACAACTATAAAATCGGCTGAAACTACAAGATTAATAGTACTAAACTGGAATTATCTGAAAATTCAAACGATGAAACAATAACGAAGTCATATGCTGTTTGTCTTTCTTATCTCGTTTCCATCAGTTAGTTCGATTAAAGACGATCAAGTTGGTTGGTGCGATGAAAGATAGGCAGCGGCCAGTTTGGTTTAGAGGCCTCTATAGAGGCGAGTCGTGTGCTGAATATTATTTTTGCAAAAAAAAAAAGAGAGATGAAAGCGAGAATCGCGAGAAAGAAATGTATGAATTCGTTTATGAAAGGGATCATGTTTATGAGCGGTTGGATCTATGTTTTATCCAAGGGAATTTGAAAAAAAAATATGACGAATGGAGCAGCTAAAACAACGAATGGGTGAATATCGGGATACTGACCATGAAAAAGGCATCTGTTCATACAATAACGGTCAATTTACATCAGGGTTTTTTTCAAGTTTTTTATTATTCTGGTACAGAAAACATCTAAGCTGTGGAAGAGAAACGTCAGTGGCTGTAGCCAAAGGTCCCACAACCACAACTACCGTAATCTAAAAATATTTTTCCGGGATTTTTCCTTGTTGTTGGTTAATGTTTGCAGTCAAAATATCTTCCAGTTTTTTCAGAATAAATAACTAAAAAATACAAGATCTGCAATATTACAAATCATGGAATTTGTGTATCGAACCGATTTTCGTACCTTGGTTGATGTTCCACACACCGAAACATAACAATTGCTCTAAACTGTATGATAAAGCAACATGCGGACACGTGCTTCACCTATAAAATCACTGTTACAATGAATGATAAGGTGATCGTTTCGAGAAGAACAAAAATGTTGTTCTCGTTACTGATCTCTTCTAAATTCCTAATTTCATCATGTCTTCTCTTTTTATCAGTAGCAGCTCACGAGGATACCGATCCAGAGCTAAACATGAATACGGTAAGGTTTCCGGGATATTATCGAATACAAAAGTTTATAGTCTCAAATCATTGAACGTTGGGGATACAAAGCAGAAGTGCATACTGTAACTACCGAAGATGGATACATTTTGGAAATGCAAAGGATTCCAAACGGAAAAAGTTTGTATTTTAATTTATATCCTTTAGAACAATAGAGATTTAGAGAGTGTATCCTGGCCGAATGGAAAGAAACCTGTTGTTCTAATGCAGCACGGATTACTGGCATGTGCAAGTGATTGGGTTGTGAATCTACCCGATCAGAGCGCAGGTATCACTTTTTTTCATGATGTACTGTATTTCTAATGTACGCTTTGTCAGCTTATGTATTCGCGGATGCTGGTTTTGATGTGTGGTTGGGTAACGTTCGTGGAACAACCTACGGAAGAAAACACACAACTCTTGATCCAAAAGAAACTCCATTTTGGCAATTCAGTTGGGATGAAATGGCTCAGTACGATCTGACGGCTATGGTGGACCACGTTTTGGCAATGACTGGACAAGAAAATCTATATTATATGGGACATTCCCAAGGTACACTGATCATGTTCACACGATTGGCAAAAGATACTGATGGCAGCTTTGCAAAGAAGATCAAGAGATATTTCGCATTAGCTCCAATAGGATCTGTAAAGAACATCAAAGGATTCTTATCCTACTTTGCTCATAAGTTCTCTCCTGAATTCGATGTAAGTCGGACACATGATTAATGGAAAAACTAAACAATAATTTTTATAGGGATGGTATGATCTGTTTGGTTCCAAAGATTTCCTTCCTGACAATTGGATTACAAAAGAGGCATCCAAAGACATTTGTGGAAGTTCGGAGAAGGAAGCTGAAATGTGTGATAATGAGTTGTTCCTGATTGCGGGACCAGAAAGTAATCAATGGAATGCATCTAGAACCGCAGTATACAGTTCACAAGATCCAGCTGGAACTTCGACTCAAAACATTGTTCACTGGATGCAGATGGTCCGACACGGAAGAGTTCCTGCATTCGATTGGGGAAAAAAAATCAATAAGAAGAAGTACGGACAGGATACACCACCAGAATACGATTTCAGTGCAATCAAAGGAACAAAAATTCATTTGTATTGGAGTGACGACGACTGGTTGGGAGATCCAACTGATATCCATGATTTCTTGTTGAAAGAGTTGAATCCTGCTGTTATTGCTGAGAATGTTAATTTGAAAAACTTCAATCATCTAGATTTCTCATGGGGATTGAGTGCAACTCCAGAAGTTTATCTTCCCGCATTGAAGACATGTACAGATGATTATTTGGGAAAATCGTGATATTGAATGAATCATTTGTATTTTGCTTTTCATTTTTTTTCAACACTTATTTATTGAAAAGGAACCAAACAAAAATGTTTATTTCATCAAAATGCTTCCAATTTTTTGTATTTTTCTGATATTGTTGCGAAAAAATCCGGAAAAATGCCGTTAAAAGAAAACATTTTGTTAAATAGGTGGTGATTAGGGACG